ACGACGCCACCGACGACGACGACGCCACCGCCCGCGCCCGGCGTGCTCACGGGCACGGCGCGGCAAAATGCATTCGCCGCGGCGGTGAGCACGTCCAAGATATCGTTGCTTCCGCCGCAGGGAATCGTCACTTCGTCGTCGGCGGCGCGAGTCGACGGGCGCGTGCTCGCGGCTGTGGAGCAGCCGATCAACGTGTCTTCGTTCGCCGCGGACGCCGATTACAACACGCAGCCGGAGGCGACGACGTACGTCAACAGCATCACCGATGAAGTCTTTGGCACGGCGAACATGATTCTTTGCTTCATCAGCTCGACGAACTGGACGCAAAATTTGAACACCGGAGCGTACGTCGCTGAACTCGATCCGTATCACTGCGAAAACTCCGAGGGTAACAGAATCAAGGGCCAGATCACTTACCGCTGGGTCGTGAACGCAACCGGACCAGATCTCGATGATCCAAACGATCCGCTCGTCGAGTTCAGGGCGAACATCTGGGTGCATCTGTCTGATAATCCTTACATGCCTTTTGTCGATACGCAAATCGTCGTGAAACGCGAAGACGTCGTCGTGAAAGAGAGCAAGGTGTTCATAAAAAAGTTGGCATTCACGTATAAGAACGGCGCTGCCACCATACCTGGTTATGGTGACATCGATTCCGGTGCGGGGATGAAAGGCGTGCTCATTCAAGAGTGCGCAATTGGCGCAGGAGATGCCGACTGCACTTCGCGATCGCTCACGTGGTACGAGGCGTCCCCAGTTGACGAAGGAGTGATGCGTGCGAAATCTATCACTGAGAATGGTATTACAAAGGCCACGTTCGACTCGACGGGCGAAGACTCCTTTTCTGGCAAAATGGTGACCTCGCCAAATTTCGCCAAATTGCAGTTCCGCGACACTACGTATTGCGACAAGATGAGCGACAGAGCCTACTTCGGTGAACAATACGTCGCGTACGATGATTCCGGTAAAAAGGTTCGACTGCAAAGTTACGCGAATCTCAAAGCCACCGGCACCGATGACGCCACGTATCACGCGTTTATGTCGTATCCGGGAAATCTCTACGTATCTGAATACGACGACGAAGGTAATAAGCTCGAAGATGCCGAAAAAGCCTCCGCGAGCGCGGCGTTCATGGACGGGGAGAGCGTTACCGAAATCGTTGACTGGAACGATCCGTCGAAGGACGTCAACTTCAAACTCAAAATATCTCGAGGTGTCTTGTACAAGAAGACGAACTCGATCCAGCCCGCGTCCAACTACAAGGACGCGCCCGTCATCGGCTGGCTCTGGGATTCGACCGAAAATGCGATGGTGGAGATCAAGTTTGTCTATGACTCTTCATCTGACAAGATCATGCTTACGTCGAAGAAACAATATTCTTGGGAAACGAATGATCTTGCTGACAACACGATCTCAACTCCGCGGGATCTCACCATGGACGACATAAACAGCGAACCGCTCGGGTGCTACGGAAGCATCTTCGGCCAAGGCTCGGCGATTTTGCTCAACTTGACGCACTTCAAGGTTGCCAAGGCGGAGACCATCACGCCAGGATCGCTTCCGAATAACCTCGTTCTCACGTGCAGTGAACAATGCGCGAACGCGTCGACGTTCGCGACACTCAATCCGACGACTGATTATCAAGGTTCCATGATGTACGCTCAACCGAACGGGTACAGCGACGTTCGAAGTACGTACAAGACGTTCACTTTCGACAAAGATACCGCCAAGCTGACGGATGACTCTGGCAGCAATCTCGAAGTCGTGCTCGACGTCACGAACGACTTCTTCAAACAAAACAGCGTTTGGATGACCCTCTTCGAGGCTACGGACGATCACGTCGCCGAGTTGGGCTGTTCGGACGGCTCAACAGTTTGCCAGCATCCGAGCGCGCTTGACGAATACTACGAGTGGCGTTCGAGCTGGTGGGACGGCATGGCGTGGCTCGAAGATCCGAACGACGCCACGAAGAAAAAGTTCATGCAAGCTCCCCTCGCGCTTCAGGGACAAATGCCCACGACGGCGAGCGCGATCCCGCGGACACCGTCCGGCACCAATTACGCGGGGACGAATCTCAATCTGCAATACGAGGGCGGATGGATTAACGGCTTGCCGCAAGTTTGCTTGAACCAAGGAAGCGGCGATCGAACGGCGCCCGAGTACGATCAGTGGGGCAACGCGCGGTGCGATTGGGACAACGGATACCACCAAGTCCCGGACGTCGCGCTTCCCGACGGCATCACGCTCGAGGATCCTTCGACGAGCCCCCCCTCTAAGTACGTCCTCAAGCTCTCGAGCGGCGTGGAACTCCTTCAACGCGCCGACGCGTCGCAGTGCGCGTCGATGAGCTTCGACGACGCGATCCAACTTCCCGAGGAGTCCGCCTTCGTCGATTTCGACATGCCGTCGAAACCGAACGCGACGACCCTCATGGTCAAGTCGACCGACAAGGAATAACGCGCCTCGCCTCGCCCGATCGACGGGACCGAGAGCGACGTCACCGTCGCTCCCCGCGTCCTGGAGATCGCTCGAGATCTTTTTGTTTTCTCTCCACGCAGTTGTAACGTCCAGTCGATACACGCATCATCCGTGGTATCCACCATATCCACCAGTCATCCAGGATCGACCCTTCGACCCCCACTCGCGCGCGCGCGGCATGCGCGTCGCCCCCGTTCCCCACCCCCGCGCCCTTTCCCGCGTCCGCGTCCGCGCCCGCGCGCGGCTCTCCCGCGCGCCGTCCGCACCGCCGGTGACGACGACGACGACCGAGCGCACGCTCTCCACGGGACACATTCTCATCGCCACCGTCGAGACCTCTCGCGTCGACACCCGCGCGCGAACGACGGCCACGCTCACGCTCCGTGACGACGCGAACGCGCCGGCGCGTGGAGCGTTTCACTGGGCGACGACGCGACGCGGTCGGGACGGATGGACGCCGAGACCGCGCGCGGGGGACGACGATTCGACGGATACGGATGCGGCGGAGGAATATGATTTCGGTGATGGCGTCGCGACGCGGAGCGCGTTCGGGATGGATGGAACGCTGACGATGCGCGTGGACGTCGACGCGGGGGATGCGGTGGATGGGGGGGTGGAGGCGATCGTGGGGATCGTGGTGTTGGACGGCGAGACGTGGGCGCGCGCGGATGACGGAGACGTCGTCGTCTGGGCTCGAGGACGGGAGACGGCGAACGGATCGACGTTGGATGTCGCGCTGCGACGGGCGAGTGATCTCGAGGGGGGGGATGTGAATTTGTTCAATCGTTTCTGCGCCGTGGATGATTGTCTGGATGACGCGTTGGCGCGCGGACCGGAGGGCGCGGCGGCGATCTTCGCGTGGCTTCGACTGAGCGCGCTCAGGCAGTTGCACTGGTACGCCGGGAATAATTATCAAGGGAAAGACATGGCGAGTAAACAGGAACGCCTGGCGTGGCGCGTCGCGCGCGCCGCGACGACGACGGCGGATCCGGTGAGCAGGGGATTAATGCGCGCGTCTCTCGCGTTTCTCCCGCGCGGCGGTGGGAACGGGGACGACATTCGCATGGGCATCTTGAACATCTTGCGTCAACACGGCATCAAGGAGGGACATCGACCCGGGATCGAGGACCCGTTCCTCTCGCAGTGGCATCAAAAGCTGCACTCGAACACGACCCCGGACGACGTGAAGATTTGCGAGGCGTACCTCCACTTCTTACACACCGGGAACTGGGACGAGTTCTGGGCCCATCTGTGGAACAACGGCGGGCTCACGCGCGAAGATTTGGCGGGAATGAAGGCGGGGTGGCGCTCGGACGGCATTCACGGCCCGGCGCTGCACATGCCGCACATGATTGATTCTTTCAAGCATTACCTATGGATTTTGAAGACGACACACGGCGGTGGCGACGTGGACAGCGCGATGAACTTTGCAAGGGACGGACTTCCGGGAGACGTCGCGTGGGAGGTGGACGACTTACTGCGAAATCGTGACGCGTGGTGGGTGCCGGGAAAAATTGTAGAGATTCGCAAGCGACTCCTCGACGTCTGGCAGCACGACAACCCGAATCGCGACGTCGTCATGCTCGACGCGTCGTTGGAGAAGTTTTTCCGAACCAAAGTGGAGGCGATAGACCACGGAGCGATGTCATCGGACGATTTGCTCTCGCTCCTTGAGCTGTCGCTCACGAACGTGGCGCTCACGAACGAGTCGCCGAGAATCGCGAGCGCGCTCACCTTCGTGCAGCGCTCCATGGGCGGCGAGCGTTGGACCGAGGAGTGGTCGAAGACCATGGACGCCGCCCTCGATTTTACAGCGCTCGCCATGGAGGGCGACATGGACTTTGTGTGCCGAGCGACGCAGAGCGCCGCAAACGTCATCGCGTCAAAGTCCACAAAGACGGATTCCAAGTATCTGATCAACTTTGGTGAAGAAAACGTGCGCTCGCACAGTCTCTTCGTTGTCTCTCAGTTGATCTCCAGACTTCGGCCGATCGTTCGCAACGCTGCCGGTCGATCGCCGTGGCAAATCGTCAGCGTCGGCGACGCCTCGCTCGAGGCGTTCGCGGGGACGGCGAAGATTGAGACGCTCAGCGAAATTCAGGGTGAAGACTTTTCGTCCCAACCGATTGTTTGTCTCACCGAAACGCTCGGAGGGCTCGAGGACATCCCCACGGGTGTTCGAGCCGTCGTCACCAGGGCGCCGGTGGATTTGCTCAGTCATATTGCCATTCGCGCCAGGAATACGAATGTTCTCCTCGCAAGCGTCTCCGACGACGCCCTCTGGGGCGCCGTGCTCGAAATGACTGGCTCAAACGTTCGCGTCGTCGTCTCGGGAGAAGATTTGAAGATGGAGATAGCCAACGTCACCGAAGCGACGACGTCTCGAGCCGCCGCCGACGTCGACTCGCCGAAGATTTCCATCGCTCCGTATAAGCCTTCGGAAGAGTGGTTGATCGCGCCGAGTGCGTACGATCGCGACGTCGTGGGAGGTAAGAGCAACAGCTTGGAAGACATGGCGAAAGAGCTCGCGGCGATGAACGTCGCTCACGTCGACGTTCCGGGATCTTTTGCGCTTCCATTCGGCACATTCGAGCGAGTGCTTGCTGAGGACGACGAGACTCGATTGTCCCTTGAAATCGCCGTCGCTGCAATCAACGCCGCGACGAGCGCGACCGCACGACGCGAAGCGCTCGAAGACGCCAGAAATATCATCTCCAGTCGCCTCTTGTGCCCGAGCGGGTTGGAAGCCGCGCTCCATGACGCTGCTACGAGCTTGTCGTCAAACGTGGAAATGGAGCGCCTGTGGGACGCCGTCTGCGGCGTCTGGGCATCCAAGTGGACCGAGCGCGCGTGGCTGTCCCGAAAAGCATGCGGAATTCCCGATGAAGATTTAAACGTCGCAGTGCTGCTCATGGAACTCGTCGACGCCGAGCTCGCGTTCGTCGTGCACACGGCAAATCCAATCACAGGCGACTCGGATGAAATTTTTGGAGAAATTTGCGTCGGACTCGGGGAGACCCTCGTCGGGAACGCAGCTGGCAGCGCGCTCAGTTTCACCATGAGTAAGTCCACGGGTGCAATCACCGTGCGCTCGCTACCAAGCAAGCTCTACGGTCATTATGCGCCATCCGGCGGAACTATAATCGCTAGAAGCGATTCCAACGGCGAGGATTTGGAGGATTTCGCCGGTGCCGGTCTGTACGACAGCATCACCGCCGAGCCCACCGAGGAACGCGTGGTCGACTACGCGTCGTCGCACATAGTGTGGGACGCGGTGGCGCGCGAATCTGTGATCAAACGCGTCGCCGCTATCGCGCGAAAGATTGCAGAGAGCAGAGGGGGACCACAAGATATCGAAGGCGCCATCGTCGGTGACCGCATCGTGCTGCTTCAAACGCGCGCGCAAATTTGCTCATGAGACTCTCATCATACACGTAGGTACCTAGAAAGATTGTTTTGTTGTAACAGTGCTCATAGGCCGCCGCTAAATGACCTCATCTACTGTTCATAGTTTCATTCCATCGCACATCCGAGCGACTATTTCCGCCACGTCGCTGGCTCGAGCGAGACGCTCGGCGTTTGCGTCGCATTTGAACGCGAGCGCGCGCATCGCGCTTGCGGCTACGTACATCACGCGCTTGTCCTCATCACTGGCGACGTCACGAATGATGTCTCCGAGCGCCTCCATCGCGCCGTGGTTCCCGGCTTCGATCGCGCTCGCCGTATGTGACGCGAGATTTCGCAACGCTCCCATGGCGTCCAAGCATCGCACTTTCCGAATGAGCGCACAGAGTTTCGGCACAGCGCCCAAAACGAGCGCGCTCGCTCGGTTCTCAGCATTTGCGCACACGAGCTCTCTAATCGCTCCCGCCGCCGCGCGCCTCTCATCATCGTCGTCATCCAGACGATCGATCAGCGTCCTCATGACGTCTCGCTCCGCAGCTCGTTTGCGTTCTGGTCTGTTCGCCATCTGTACTTTGCTCTTCGCGCTCAACGTTCCGTGCACCCATCGAGAGCCGACATCCGCCTCGAGCGAGGTGAGCTCCGCTCCGGCGTCTCGCAGGATGGCCAGAGCCTGAGCGTCGCCTGCAAGAAGCGCCCAAGCCGCAGCAGTGCGTTTCCATCGATCCCACGCCTCTAATCCACCCTTACGCGTCCTTAACTGTTTGCACGCTTTAGCTGCGACGAAAATCGTCTCTGCGTCGCCGCCTCGCACTGCGAGATGTAAAATCGTCTGCTTATCGGCATCCCTCGCCCCAGGAGGGGCGCCGAATTTAAGAAGTGCGATAAGGATACTCGCGTGACCTCGAGCGGCGGCGATGTGCGTCGCAAGTGTGCCCGCATTCGATGCTTCAATCGCGATATCGACGCCGCCGCGCTCGAGGATCGCATTGACGACAATGTCGGCGTCTTCGGACGAGCTCGCCGCGGCGGCTCCGAGACATCGAGCGGTCGCCTGGACGCCACATGACAAAAGTGCGCTGACGACGGGCGCTACGCCGCGTCCACACGCGGCGAGAAGACGACGGCTCGCGACGGGCGCGAGATCAATGGCTGCCGCTGATGCCGAGCACCAGCCGCAAACGTCGACGCCGCGCGATCGCAAATACGCCGCGTAATCCCTGAGCACCGGTCTGGCTAATATCTCGCAAGGTGCAAATGGGCCATCGACGTGACCGAAAGCGCACGCCGCGGGCTCATCGCCGCTCTGGCGTAACAGAGCGGCGGCCTCGCCGACGTGAAGACCGGTAACATGGTTCTCATCGCGCGGTCGACTTGAGTTCGATGACTCGGTCGAAAACGCAAGCCTCGCGTCGCCCTCGAGCGCTCTCGAAACGGCCAGCACGTTAATGGAGTTCCCACCGAGCGCATCGAACGCGTCTAAAGCACCCACACCCGAAATACCGCCGTCTTCGCTGAAACCGAGCGCCCGAGCCCACGCCTCGGCGAGTATGGTTTCCAATCCGGGCTCAGGTGGCGTTCGCTCCGGGCGAAAAACCAATGTGCGTCCGCTCTCGAGCCAACTTTTGAGTAACGGTCGATTCGTCTTCCCGCTCGACGTCAAGGGCCACTCGTCTCGCGGTATCAAAACGATTCGCCTCGGGACCGCGTACGCGGGCAAACGGCGCTCGACGACGCGTTCGAGCGCGAAGGAGTATAAATCCGCATCCTCGGCGCGATACCTTGGCGATGAGATCCGCACATGCGCCGTGAGCACGCCGTCCTCGTAAAATACCACAGCATCATCGGCGAGCTCTGGAAACGACCGTGCGACGCTCTCGATATCATCCAGCTCCATTCGATGTCCACGAATTTTCACCTGTCTATCGTTTCGTCCGCAGAGAAACAAATCACCAGATGCGTCGATGCTCCCTCTGTCGCCCGTAAGGTAGACACGTCCGAGCGGCGATGAGACAAACATCGCATTGGTGCGCTCGCGATCGTTCTCGTACCCGTCGCACACGCACGGACCGCCGATGGCGATCTCACCGACGAATCCCGGCTCGCTCGCAAACGCCGCCACACCCGAGGCATTCGGCTCGAATCGCTCGACGATGCGCACGAAAGCAAACTTCTCGTACGCCACGCCCGCCCGGCTGGGATCGTCATCTACACCGCGCATACGCGCGTACGTCTGCACCACCGTCGTCTCGGTGGCCCCGTAGACATTGTACAAGCTCACCGCTGGGGCCCACCGCTCGAGCGTCTGAAGCGACATTTTTTCACCCGCGAGCGACACGCACCGCAGTTTCGGGAGCTCCTCGGGCATAGCGCGATTGAGTGAAAATATAGTCGGCGTGCAGCACACGTGCGTGACATCACCGAGGGTGAGCACGCGTGCTAGATCGCGCTGCATCACCTCTCGCGACGCGACAACCACGGCGCTTCCGCTTAGCATCGCCGCGGCGACGTCGCCCGGATATAAATCAAACGTCGCGTTCGACGCCAAGCACACCCGCGAGTTCTCAGATAACTCCTCCACGCGCGCCTTCGCCGCGCCGTACGCCATCGCTCGCGCGTGCGTGTTCGCGATCGCTTTCAACCCTCCCCCAGTCGTCCCCGACGTGAACGACACGAACCACTCATCCGCGTCCGACTCCGCCATCCGATCGTCGTCGCGTCCCGACGTCGACGCCGTACTCGACGGCGCGTTGACATCGATAACGTCCACGTCGTCATCCATCACCCGTCGTAGGACGTCGACGACGCCGTCGTCCGATCCATCCGTCAGCGCCGTCGTCGTCGCGCCCGTCGCCGCCGCCGCCGCCGCGACGCGCTCCACCGGCCACGCGCGCGCGTCCACGCTCACGATCGCGCGTCCGACCTTTCCGCACGCGAGTAAGCACACGAGGGCCTCCGTGCCGCCCGCGCACGCGCTCAGGACGCGACCGCCTCGGCGTGAGAGTCTCCCCGCGAGGGCGTCGACGCGCGCGCTGAGCTCGAGCCAGCACACGGGGCTCCGCGTGCGCGCGTGCGCGGCGTCATCGAGCGCGATGTCGACGCACGCGACGTCGCTGGGGCGCTCGCGCGCGTGTCGCGCGAGATGGACGTGCGCTCGAGCGGAGGTGGGCGGGGACATGGGACATCGCGGCGAGAGGCGGCGCGTGAAGCGACTGTTAAGTCTAACATTTTTAAAAGCTAAGCGCGCCGTCGGGTCGCGCGCGGGTCGCGAGCGATGACGCTGGTAATTTTTTTTTGCGATCACCGCTCGTTCTACGCTCGCTTAAAGCGAGCGAGGGCACCCTTGGATTTCACCGCGCCCGCCGAGGCGTCCTCGGGTTCATCGGGCTCGTTCTGAGCGGGCGACAGAGATGCAAGGTTTTTGGTGATGAGCGCCAACGCCTCGTCGTCATCGTATTTGCGGTTTCGGCGTCTCACCCGGGCCGCTTCGTCGCGCACTCTCGAGAGCACCTTGTCTTCGTCCACCGAGTGGACGGGAAGCGCGTTGAGGGCATCCTCGACTTGATCGTCGCTCTGCATCTGTGCTTGGAACGCGGCAAACTGTCTGTCGATGATCGCCTTTGTGCTCGTGAATGACCTCGCATCCTTGGCCACGTTTCGTTTATACTCTCTGGTGTCCATTTTCATGCCCGGCGGAACCTCATAGGGGTCGGTGTTCATGATTTCGCCCAAATCGTAACGCTGATAAAGCATCTCATCCGCGATGCCCTGCGGTCCGAGTTCAAGCGCCACATCTCGAATGTTTCGAAGCGTGTTCAAAAAAGTTCGCTTCTGCCCGGGTTCCGCGACGACCGCAAGCCACTCGTACACGATATCCCGGTATTTCTTTTGTATCGTTTGCTCGATGGGGTCCGTCTGAGATTCATACAGAGCCACCAACTTCGAATCGAACTTTTCAAAATAAATCTCATCGATGAGACCGCGCGCGAGACGCAGAACCTCTGGCTCGAGAACGCGCAAGTGGTACTCCACAATCTCGGCTGTTCTCGGCTCGAAGATCACACGAGCACGCTCGATGGTCTCAACCATCTCCGGCGGGTCTTTGGCTTTCGCCTCGAGAATGAGCAACTGCAACCTTTCTCCGCGCAGCGCTTTGAAAGCAATAAACTTCTTGAAGAGTCGAATGTATCTCAAACGCGCGAGGCGTAGATACCTGGCGAATCTAAAAGTCCTCATACCAGCCACACTCGCCGTGACGTTCACGATGAAGAGAAGCATTTGCAGCATGATAACGAAAAAGTCGAGACAGTTGTAAGTGTCACGAAGGTACGCGCCGTCACCAAGGATGAAGCCCATTGCGATGATTTTTATCGCAGCCTCTGCAACAAACGTCCAGTTTATGAAAGAATCGAACCAGACAATTCTTGTGTAGGCGTCTGATACGAAACTTTCTTCGTACAGAATGACTTCAGCGAGCACAGAGCAGAGACTCATGCAGACGCAGAGGAAGACGACGCGCTCAAAAAGCGGATGACGATACGCGCGCCAACACAGGTATCGAAGCCTCGAATCGGAGGGGAACATGTAACACGAATTGCCCTGCGGACCGCTCTCGTGCGTACCAACCTTATCAGGTGTGGCCATGTCTCGCTGCTGGTTGTACTTGATCAAGAACATCAAACGCTTCATCCATGGGAGAAACTCTATCACCACAATGAAAACCAGAATTGCCGTCGTGACACTCAAACCTATCATTAACACGTACGTAGCGATTTGCTCCGAAGCATCATTCATGATACCAAGTTGGAAAAAGAAACCCGCAATGAGAGTGAGGCAGTTCATGAATGTTGCCGATATCTCGGCGATATTTAACTGCGTGCTCACGTAAGGATTTCGCGTGGACAAGATGCCATACATGACGAAAAGTACCATCGTACAGAATGACTGCAGAAGCGTTCGATTCGGGAAGAGTACCTTTACTGCAACAACTGTGAGCTTCTTACCCAAATCGAAACAGATCCAAAGGTAGAAGCTAGGACGGAGAGATGAATACATCATGCCGTAACGCTCGCTGAACCTCGTAATTTTCTTTTCGAGGTCGTCATCAACGCCCGAAGCTTTGCTCGCGATGACGTGCACGCGAGCTCTCACCTTTGAGTTGGAGCGGTGAAACCACAGCCAGAACAGTGCGGCGAAGAACAAACCAAACGGATACACGATCAATGCGAAGAGCGCGAACGGCTTCCACACCAGATGATCACCTTGGTTGCACACGACGCGGGGATCAGCCACTAAGAGCGCTTGCTCTGTGTTAGTTTTGCACTCGAAGAACTCGATGGTGGTGCGGGCCAGGAGCATGTAACCCCACCAGAAACAGATGATGACGGATGGAATCGCGCGGTTGACGTTTGCTCGAATGATCGCGTGACTCTTTCTTCGCTGTTCCTGCAACTCTTTGATTTCGCGTTGAGTTTGTAGCAGTTTGCGCGTCGTATCCTTTTCAGCGTCGTTCAAAGCGCCCTTCTTGTCTTCCAAGTCCAACTTGACCGCGTCTTTGACCGTCTCGTGGTACGCACGCTTTCTAAGCGTTTCGTCATGCGCGTTACCGTACAAGTGTTTCTCCAGGACTGTGTAGTCATCGCCCTTACCCTTCAGGTCCGGACGATCAAACGGCAACCCATCGCGCTCCATCGCCAGCTTAGTCCAGCGTTTCCCGTCGACATCAAACTCCAATAGCTTTCGTCTCCGCTCCGCTAACTTACGCTTGCGAACTCCCAAGTACGCTTGCTTCACGATGTCCCTCCAACAGCGGAAAATGACGGCGATGACGATGATACAGAACCAGTAAAACGGAGCGAAAATCGTCACCGTGAAGCGCTGAATGTAGTCAAAGCTACTCGCGATGCAATCGAAGCCAAGCAGTTGCAGATCTGCACAAGCTAACGATGCGACTTGCATCCACCGAGCCAAAGGTTTCGGCCATGGAATCTCGAAATATTGCATCTGCGCAGTGATTTGCGTGAACGTGAGTAAAATCGTCAACGCAGGAATAGCTCTGTGAGTGGCGAGCTCAAAAATGACGTAGAGCACGGCACAGTAGCCGAGCAAGATGAAGAAGATTCGAACTGCCGGCACTTTATCACACGCTTCACAGAATCCTGCGTAGCGATAGTGATCTGGTGCGCATTCTCTGCACCCTTCGCCTTGGTAAGCTGGATCAGAAGTTTCGTTTGAATAAAATCGAGGCTGCGCGCACAACGCAGCGCGAACTGCATCCTTGCTGAATTTTTCGACGCACGCAACTCCCGGAATGCACGTTAGATTTCGAGCTCCGTTATTTGGATCTTGCCAGAAGCCATCGTACGGGAGCGGTAGATACTGACCGAACTCGGTACACTTGACGCGATCAAGAGCACAACGCAAGCAATCCGTTGTATTCAACTTGTTCAACACGACAAAACCGATGTCGCAGAGACAATCTGAGTTGTCGTCGCTCCCTGACGTCGATCGCTTGTTTATCGGACAATCTGTGCACTTTGACGCGCCAGAGACGTCGGAATACGTATCTGAAGGACATGGACGGCACTCTGTTTGCCCTTGCAAGCCGATGTAACTCCCCGCAGGACATGGCACACACGTCTGTTGATCAGGAATGCCGGCTGAGTTGAATGTGCCCGCAGGACACAACTCGCACGTCTCGCCGTGGACACCGTTGATCCTCTCGCCGCCGCGGCACAAGGTGTTGATGGTCATCGAAACGTCGGTTCCTTGTGCGTTCGGCGTGATGCTCGTATCGTTCGCGCGCCACTTGAACGTCACCGGACCGTGCACGTACTCCCTCGGCTCGAAAATCACCAGCACTGCGCCGTTGATCGCATCTCCGATGACATCCCCGACCGCTAACGGAGTAAGCCCGGCGACGGATGCAGATGTGTACTGGTACACGGTCTGATTTGTCGAATTGAAGAAAGTACCGGTAGGCGCGACGTACTTGTAAAGGGTACCGGCGTATCCAGCAGCCCCTCTCGCTGGATCCGACGAGGCGATCGTCGGCAACTCGCTCAAGACGTAACGAATGGTGTTGTTTACGTCTTGATCGACGTCGTACGCTAAAAGCGCCACAGCCTTGATTTCATCGTGATACATGGACTGCGGAGTTGAAGTCTTGGACGACCCGCACGATAAGAAGACGTTCTCGTCGTCAATTACGGCGTCGAATTTCGCCAGATCATTGATAAAGGGATCGAATTGATAGAACTGCAAATCCAACTGTCGCTCCGGATTCTGCTTGTACTGAAGTGTCGCGGCCTTGATGAGATTGTAGCCCTGCAACATGGATGACTCCGCCGCGCGCTGCTTTAAATTGAATAGCGGGTTTATAGAATACTTGAGCGTAGAATGCGGTCCGCATGCGCCTTGAGGGGGCTGAGGGATCTCATTGATCTTCACAGAAACAAGCGTGTTGCCTGAGGTGGCGCCATGCGGATCGGTGACGTCATAATAAAACACGTCAGTCCCGTAGTAGAATGGGAAAGGATCGTAGCGGAAGTTCTTACTGTATGGATTGGCAGCGAGCCCAACCAAGCTCGGTGTACCGAGGGTGCCAATAATTGAAAGAGTGTGCCTTAAAGCATCGTTGCTCTCATTGTCGTCTGAGTCAAAAGTAGCATCCACTGGCACGTTCTCATCAGTCTCCAGAGTTATCGGAGTTGCGGTCGGTGCAGTATTCGTCTCCGAGAGGAGACGAAGCGTCACGCAGATGCTCGCCACGTTAGAGACACGTCCTGAAATATCAGTAACCATAAACTTCCATGATGTCACGTTGTAGCCAGGGAGCTGAGTTTGTGCCACGCCAGTGAAGGAATTCGACCCGGAGCTCGCCATCTTTTCTCTCACGCGCTGTACGATGGCAGATCCAGAGTACGCGGCGTACTCAAACGTCGGATACTCCGAGAATCGTTTACCCCCGGTGATACCTGTGTTTCGCAGTGTGATGCCGGCTGGGTTCAGCTCTGGTTCTTCGACAATGTGATACCGGATAATGTCGTCGTTATTAACCGGAGGATTCGTCGAATCAACATCCGTCGCGTTGAACGTGAAGTTCTTCGGCGAATTTTCCCACACTTCGATGCAGCCATCTTTTGCCACCGGATCATTGTTGCCGTTACCAACGAGAATCTCCACCGTTCTGAACGGCGATTGCAGAGGGCGTGGTAGGACTCTCGCTGGTTGATACGTGTCCCAAGTGAAATACACAAATCGGTCGTTTCCAACCATGTTTGGGAACGGTGTGTAGTCGAACATACCAGTGGCAGCATTGAGCGTAAGTTTGCCTTTGGACGGCTCACATGAGATGTTATACGTGATGGCATCGTTTTCAGGATCGCCGCCCGTTAGTTGCGCATCTGTCAATGTATCAATGCGAGGATTGCGGAGCTGGAAAGTCTGGTCTTGCGCCGTAGGAGGGTCGTTGACTGGCGTCATGATGACTCTGTTCAATCCGCAACCTATGTTATTTTGTGTCTCCCCGTCGTTACAGCAGAAGCGGATGTACCGATCAACATCTGACATCGCTGGTCCCATGTTACTTAGAACAATGCTTTGCATCGCGCGCAAGTACGCCGCCGGCTGTGCGATGCCGGACAGCTTTATGCTCGATGCGTCGGAGGACTGAGCGGTGATGTCCACGAGACCTGGAGGCATAGACGTGTTGTAATTTATGTACTTGTTGATGAGAGCGGTCGCGTTGTACGTCAGAGTATCTCCTGGCATGGGCACTGTCGGTACTAATGGGTCATCAGTAGGCCCGAGCGCACGAATGACGATCGTACACTCGGTCCAGTTCACCGTGTCGACATCGAATGCCTGGAGAGGTGCGTCGATCTCCAACTGTTCCTTCTCTGTGTACAAGATCGGCAGATCAATGTCGATGATCGGAGGATCATTCGTGCCTTCGGTGTCGATGATCAAAAGCGGTCCTTCCACGATTGCTCCGAATTGATCCACGATACGCGTCGTCATCTTCCTCGGGCTTCCGTCTGGATTCAGATTCGTGTCAGTGAATGTAATTTCATTCACCGCCGACATCAAATCCTGCGTCGTATTCGTCACGTTTGGATACGCCAACAGATTTCTCCGAGGTATTCGGGTGGGATAGAGATCCATGTGAGCGAGCCCATTTTCGGTGCTCAACAATCGACGTCTCCGCAGTTGATCACAGTTGTTATCCCTGTCCAGAAACGCAATGTTTGTAAATCGTATGATTTGCGTCAAGTTGTTAAAATATCCTTGAATGCCCGGCTTGACTTCACAGCCAGGGGGGTCGTACTGCCACGTTCCAGTGTCGTTATGGCAACCGCGCCCGGGATCTGTCCAGTTACCTCCATCGGTACAGTTCAGTCCGTAGTAATCCGTCTCAGGCGATTGTCCCACGAGAACTGTCAAGTCGAGATAGTACATCTCGGTGTCAATCGTGTTATTCCCCGCAGGTAAGATTTCAAAGGAATTTGCGAAAAGGTTTTTCGGCGGGTCTTTTTCTTTGTAAAGCCCGGCATTTCTTATGTTGTCAATCACGAAAGCCGACCCGGCGGTGCCGAGGCAGTACGTTCCCAGCTCGTTGACCTGAGCTTGTACGCCCTGTGCGATCTCCCGTAAACTCGAGTTGTTTGGAATGGACCAACCATCTCCGACTGTGAGCGGCCAATATCGCAAAAGTTGTACCTTGTTCACATCGTTGTAAATGTCCGATGTTGGAAGCGTCGTGAAGTACAAATCAAGCCAACCGTGGCCCGCACTGTTCAAACTTGGATATGAAGACGTCGGAACGTACGTGCCGTTACAGTCTGCCGTGATGTTGAAGCACGTCGACAGTTGCAGGTAATTCTGCGGGAAGGTGATGTTCGTGGGCGACACCACGGTCGGGGTCGGAAATGTGCACGTATGATTGCCGAGTTGGAGTGTTCCACACGGCCCGTCGCAGTCACAAATGTGCACAGGGTAACACGTCTGATTGAGCGCTTGGTACACTAAATCAGAGGAGCTCGTATCGGCACAGACGTACGCCGTGCGAGACTGCAAGATGTTGGGCCAGCTGAGGGCAGACACCATTACTGGCTGTGGGATGTTCCAGTTGAGTGGCGTGAACGTCAGAGACGTCGTCCCCAAGACGAGATGTTCATTCACTGGATCGTACTGCGTAAACAAAGTGTTGTTCGTGGCGTTGTAGTCCATTTCACTGAAAGAGACGACGACATCTGCTGTGGGTGCGCTACTCAGCGTGAATCCCAAGGAAGAAACTTGCGTCGTCACGGCGTTAGAGCATGGCTCGTCTATGAGAACAGTATCCATCGCCCCGTTTCCAAGCAGCAAACCAGCGACATCGTACTCGACAATCTCAATTGGTAGCGAGCTTCCCCCGCCATTCGGGCTCAGCGCCACGTAATCCGGGTCGCCTGTGCTGTAAATGACATCGTGCCAAATTTCAACAACGTCGGCGTTTGCAGGTACTATGTAGTTCCGCGGGAAATCCACATAAACGCTCTGGGCGCTGGTCGATCCAGCTAGGAACGTAATCTCGCGAGGCGTAATTTCGGCGTACCTGTCGTACTCTGTGTCTGGCACAAAGGGACGCAGCTTCACATCCTTGCACGGAGGCACTATCGGTGTTATCCTGTAAGTGAGTGTTGCCACTTCCTCCTGCAACTTGTGCGGGCTCAGCGGAAGAGTGCCGTTTGGAGCATTCGGAGGAGTGCGCAGGAAAGCCCCCTGCAAATCACGAATGTACCAGCCAACGGTCCTCGGGGACATAAGAACGGTGAGAGAGAGCGGCTTGTTGCTCGAGATACCATTATACGAGCTGTCCGAAGACGTGACAGTGGACACCACCGACAGTGTGAAGTCTCCGCACCTCGCGTTGTCACCAATAAGTTCGACCGAGCACGTCACCGGTACGCGACAATCCGTTGCGAGGAATGTCCAGGTCGATCCTTGCCCACCGCAATCAAACTTGGCAGACCCGGTGAACTGAGATCCGGGAACTGAAGCCACCAATATCGTACTCAAATCAACTTGTACATCTGAATCTGGTTGCGATGTTAACGACATCGTGAAATCGTAGACACCTGGCACACCAGTGATTTGTTCCTTGTTGAACTCCAATCCGACTTCCTGTAAGTCCTCGATGTACACTGGAATATTCGGAACCACGAGCCCATTGCACTGGCTCGCAGAGCTCACGGTCACTGAGATGTTCACATATCTATCGAGATCAGCCTTGCACGAGCTGACTGGAACGATCGCCAGACGTTGAGCCAAGTCGTAGTTGGTCTCGTTGTACGTGAGCGTGGCTGCCAACGGTGCGGCTAACCATGTCAGATCTGTGCTAGTAAACGTGACACGCACGTCGTCGCCGCGGACGGCAGCCTGCAAGTACACGTCCGCGTAGGCCGTACCCGCTTCTGTAATAGAATAATTCAACAGCGCGATAATTTGATTCGCACTGCACGAAAGAGTGCGCTCCAAGGGTCGGTTCGTAGGATCATAGATCACGACCCCACAATCGTCGTTATCCGCGATGTTCACCACGCGATTCACCACCGGGAGCGAGGCGTATCGAGCATCGAGGCTCGTCGTGTCAAACCTGAGAGTTTCTTGATGCGTTCCCTCGACGTAAATATCATCGACGGCTCGAACTCCGACCTCCTGTGCGATATCCCAGTCCAACGGCGTGAAAGTGATCGTCAATGTCGAGACGTACGACGAGCTGCTGAGCTGCTGATCGACGAGTTGGACGTTTCCGGCTCCACTGACCTCGAATATGTAGATACTGACGTCCGCGACGGGCGCTTGCGTGAGTTTCACGTGAATGACGTCGGTGTATCCACCCTCTTGCACCTCGAGAGAGGTGAGGAGCATGTCGAGACCGATTGTTCGAATCCACCGACTCTGTGCTTGCGGTTCGTGATTACCGAACTTGTCGAAAGGCACAAACCAAATGTCATAGTACGTCGCTGGATCAAGCGATGATATATCAACCTCGTCTTGACCTTTACCACCAGCACCGTATCCCGGTGAGGGCGTGGACGAACCAAGGTACGCTTGCTGTCCGTACCCGTTCGGCGCTGACACCGCGGGTGCGACATTACCACTACCACTTCCCGCCTGAACTTGCAACGGTGTTGGCTCCGCTGAACCTCTCGGCAGAACGACCCAGCTCAAGTTACCCAGAGAGTTGACGGCGAAAGTGAAATTTACGTTACGGGAGGAGACGTACTCCGTCTGCAACCACACAATGGTTGGTGGGGAACGAGTAATGTCCACTCGTTTTGTCGGGCAATCGGCAGAACCGGTTGCGTTCACTTGATCGCTGTAGAGCGACGACACGTGATCAACGTAATCCCTCAGCGTAACAGTGAATAAGAAACAGCCGTTGACGTCATTGATGACGTTTGGATCGTCCGTCGTGTTCATGACGAAGTACGGACCCGCCCGCCATTCGCTCGATGGACCAGTTTGATGAACTAATGTGGCATTGAGGGCTAGATCTCCAAACGTCACCGTTGGCATCACGACAGGTTCGCTTGCTCTGATATCTAAGTATAGCGCGTCGCCGAGACCGGCTGAAGGATCAAAATTACCTGAGGTGAACGCGTACACGTAGTCTGCCTTTGGAGGTTCCAGATCCAGTCGAACAGTCAACGGGATGACTTGCGTCGTGTTCCACGAATAATCGATGTCGTTGTAGTTGTACGTGAAGTTCCATGGCACCACGGGCCAGTCTTCCGTGCCCCAAACGCTCGTCTCGTTGTTTATGCAGTGTGAAGCCCTGAAGTACGAATATGGCTGTGTCTGAACCACTGTTACGCCATTCGTCGTGGTGAGATTCCATTCGCTCAGAGCTCGGTCCGTGATGTTCCCAATGGTGACGCTTGTAAGCTTTACAGGATCCAAGAACCACATCTCCAGTACGAAACAATCGAATTCGTTGGCGACTTCACGATGTCCGGGTCTGTCGCTCCAGAATGTCACGTTAAGTGGCTGTGTACGCGACGAGGAATAGATGAGACCACTTGAAGAATTCGTCTTCGAGTTGCACGCGAGATCATCGCATGTGACGGTGAAATTTATCGCTCCCGGACTTATTCCGCTGGCTGCAGTGATGTTCACCTCTGCCAAGCGGTCCGAGCCTGTGCCAGTCACTATCGCGGCCAGTCCTCCAATGGTTACGTTGCACGAGCGCAAATCCTCATCAGAGGAAATAGCGACACGCGCCGTGCATTCGACATGACACGTTTGATTGTTCCAGTCATCGCTGTACATATCCAATGATTGGTACAGAGGAGGAGTTCGGTCAACGATTACGCGTTGGCCGCCGAGTACCACGTTACCAGTCGGTGAGACCGACTTGAGTTCCGTGTAAGTCGCGTTGACTGCGTCCAAATAGGCAGGATCTGAGCTACGAATACCTTCGAGGCGAAATTGTGCCTCTCCCTCTGGAGTCGTCGGGGACACGACAACGGAACATGAAAAGACGTTAGTGCCGTTGATTGCGTTCACGAAAGTGCAATTTTCGTTCGCCAGCGTTGCCAAGTCGGGAAGCGTCACGTTAGAGTCCATGAAGTAATCGAGCGTGATGTGATCCCCATCCTTGGCGTGGAATGGACTGCACGTGTTGTTACTGCGCTGAGAGATAGTTGTTGCGTCCGGGCGCACGTAATCGAAGCACACGTCCGGCGTACGATCGGACGCGTCCGTAATCGTCAGTTGCACTCCTCCGCAGTCAGTGATCGTACACTCGAATGGAATGGTCACCCCGCGGGAACAGTTCGGGAAAAGATTCAGCTCGAAAAGATTTGGAAGCAGACTGTGACGGCGTTTCTGCTCTTCAGCGTCATTGATGCGTTGTGCGATGGCGGCATAAGTCGCTGACACCGAATCTGTTGTATTGCTGTACCACGTCGTGACATCGTACGTCGAAGGCGTAGATTTGATCATGGTGACGGGCACACCACCGATGGTACAACTCGGATTACCTCGCGGTTCACCATCGAAATCCAACTTGAGAGTCACCGGCTCGTTCTCCTTGATGACAAACATTCCGTTATCCGCCGTCAAAGTAGCTGCTTTCAGGCAATTTGTATCACGCCGCATGGTCGCGTTCAAGCAAGGAGATCCAAGAACAAAGGTGCCAGGCGTAGCGCTCAACACATCGTTTCCGCTCTTATCCTCCATGCAGCACGCTGTCCCCTGAATTGGACCATCCACGAGAGGTACTGTACTGTCCACCGTGAAGCTCACCCGCCATTCGACTGAGAGTTGGCGAGCTACGAGGGATTTGGAGTTGTACGTCGACCAAAATCCCGGACCTGGCCTTCCAGTAGTCGGGTTGAGCGCGTGGTCTTGGCAATCTTGCTGTTGACAGTACGCCGGATCGCTGAAGACTTCACGGCATGTATCCAAGCAGCAGTCGCCACCATCCCAGCAACCGACACGATTATTAGGCGTTGGGTCACACACTCCATCGCGGAATCCAGAGTCTTGAAGACAAGAGGCCGGGAAAGTTGGAACCGCGGGCCATAAAACCGGATTCACAGGAGTGATGTAATCCGCCGGGACGATGTACGAGTTGTTCTTGGAATCCGTGAATTTGACGGTGGGTTTGGATACGAGATCACGAGATGTGGTACTCAACAGATAGGTGGCCTGCGACTGGTCACCGAGCGTCGGGTTACACATGCAAACACCGACACCTGAAGGGCACTGGTCTCCGGGAACTGCCGTCTCGGTTTCTGTTCTGTTCGCAACGGTGAGATTTGTCTGGCCACCGTACACGATGACGTCGCCGACGTTGCATCGGCTACACGTATGTCTACACATGAGGCCGTTTGCAGCGCCGCAGACGCCGCCTCTTTGCCACCAGAAATCTTGAGCGGACATGAGGTGGTGTTGAAACACGCTGCCGGCGACGACATCGTGCCGAACCAGGTCTGTTTGCAGCGAAGCCAAGCTTGCCGCGGACAGCGAGGTCGCCGACACGTTCGAGTCGCACGAAAACAGCGTCTTCACGTTCCCACTCGGAGACGTTGACAAGAAACTGCTGAACGATTGAAGAACGCTCCCAGTAAAATCGATGTTGGGCTCAACAATGCGTTGTGCAGCCGTCGTGCCGTTGTACACAATTGAACATGCTGTCGGATTCCAGTCGGCACACTTGGCGAGATCTCCACTGTTCCCTGCGCGATCTTGAAATCCTGTTGCGTTCCATTTGATCGGTCCGACGGGCGTGTTGGAGTTGACGGTATAGGTTGCCTTCCACGCGATGGCGTACGTCTCGATTGATGGTGCCGTAACAACAAGGCGAGACGACGGGAAACGCCTCTTGCTCGGGCCAATTAAATCGATCGGGACGACATCTGACGATGAAAGATCGACCCCATGCACGCTGACGGTCGGTTCAGTGATCATTTCGCTCGCCTCAAAGTACAGCGTGACGACGTCACCTTCGATTGCCAACTTTGAGTCGTACGGGTTATCGCTCGTGAAGTCTATCAATTGCAGCACCGGGGCAGTGTTGTCTATGAGACAAGCCTTGCTGCCTGCACCAAAAAACTTGTTCACCGTCGTCGTGCCGACGACTCCGTCGATGGATGTGAGCACACAGATGCTCAAGGGAACCTCTCCATCGCAGGCTCTCCCGACGTTCGCGACCGTCGCTGCCCAGTGGGTCCCAGTGGGACCGTTGCCTGTATCGATGACATTCGCAGACTGCCCGGCGATTTGTACGCAATCAGCCGGCATGTTCGTGAAATCGACAGCCACACTCGTGGTAAAATTAACAGTCACGGCAGTGTTATTGTTGAAAACGCGCGGTTCGGCGTTCGCGCACGTCGCGCTCGTTACCCGCGTGGTGTTGGCATTGACAGTACAGTTCACGTTTCCAGTGACGGGATTCATCCAGTTGGCGTTTGTAGTAACCTTGGTTCGACTCGCGTCATAGAGGTTCCCGTACAAGTTCCTGTTCACGTTACCAACATCATCCTCGCCGTCCGTGACGATGAATTGTAGAATATTGCCGCCCGACCACGTGATCGGAATCGACACGGGAACGACCCAAGTTGTGTGAAACCCTGCAGCGGCGGCGCCGGTCTGGGGAACCACGGCGCCGAGTGAGGCGCCGAATCCAAAGAAGCGCGGCCGCATCGATGGCTCGTTGAACGTGATGGTGACGGCGGACGCGCTACTAGGAGTTAGCAAACAGTTAGCCGGAACCGTTGGAGTTGGTTCGGGGGGCTTGTTGTCCACGAAGATGGGGACCACGTCAGGGCCTTTGTACCCATCATCCGTGTCCTTGTCTGTACCCGAACCGCAAGGGTTCCCCGTCATATCTCGCACCGACGAGACGTTCAACTGCAAGTTACCGTACGGTAAGCTCGCCGCCACTGTTCCAGCGCACGTGAGCGTCCAAACAGACGATGACGAAGAACCCGCGATTGTGGGTCTGATCATGCAGTCTGCGTGTGGGAAATTCGCATAAGCTGTCACGTTGTAGTACTGCACCGTCGGCTCCATTATCGGCCCGTCTGACTCGATAATGATGGACGCGGTGCACTTGGGTCCAAACTTCTTGTAAGTCGCGCTGTATCCCGCTTGGCACGTAGAGATACCGCGAACTTTGACCAGACATTTACTCGGAACTGGCGTGGGAAGACTGAAGCAATGTTGGTTGCTCCATTCTTCTCGCATGACGACATTCCCCACTCTGTCGACAGCGCGAATAAACTCTCGCAATCCGCACCCGAGGGGTTCAAGGATATCCATTTCTTTTTCGTCGAAAGGGCGGCAGCTCGTCCAAGTCGTGATGTACTCCGACTCGTCATGCTCGTCCGGTGGTAAAATGTGCGGATCGAGGACGCACAAGCCGTGGTTGGCGCAGGTACCGTAACAGTTCGTCTCCGCGCCCTCGACGGTCCACTTGCGCACTACGACTTTGTTACTGAAAGTGACCACCGTCCGAAGCTGATGCCCGCTCAAAACCTCCGTCAAACCGTTGACGGTAGGTACTACCACATCTCCCACGCTCGGGGTCGTCAGATTACACTCCGCTGAACTCGTAAGTAGCGAGTATGAGACGCTCGTGATCCAAGGAGGATTGAGCCAGTACGGGCCCGTACCCGTGAGCTTCAGTTGTGCGTTGTCAGTGAAAAACGGTGCGCCTGAGCGTTCGTGGTACGTCACTTCCCAAGAAAGATCGCCGTCGGGTTGTGGGACCAGACTGGCGCCGGAGATGCGAATTGTAGCGACGCGCGTGCTGTGAATCTCCGGGAACTTCCTGGAAAATTCAGACTCGTCCCATGAGTAAGCCGCGGCTGGAAGTGCGTTGACGATCGAAAAATAGTCGGCACTTTTCGTCGCGAACAGAGCGTCGTTTGTGCTTGAGTACGCCACGAGCGCATCGTTCAGGAAAGTCCTAGAGTTTGCCTGAGCGACGTACTCGATCGCGATGTCCGCCTGAGGCACCGTCACCCCGCCGATGAGGACAGATCGAACGTCGATGGGTTTATTCGCCGTCAATTTGATGTAAATCGTGGAGAATCTGTTAACGTACTTCTTTCTGACGCCGGCGTTGTTCACCCCCCATGATTCCGTAGTGGGTGTCGTCAGAGTGACCGCGTTCGGGCGCAGACAACCGCCGTCGACGTTCTCCGCACCTGAAGAGGGCGTACCGACGGCGCAGCAGTGACCCGCGTCCGCGCAGCACGTCCCTCGTAACTTGCACGTCGGATCACAGTCACACGTATTTGCTGCGCCACCGCAGCGACCAGCGCACGAGTCTGACGCTACCGGCGCGGTGTACGTGAGATTCTTGGAGAGGTCGTTGGTCGTGTCAATACTGCCCGCGGGTGAAATGGCTGGGTTCACGACGTAGTGCGCGATGAGAGGCTTTGACGCGACATCGGCGTCCAGTCCCAAATCTGTCGTTTTGAGCGTGATAGTGTGCGACTTCGAGAACCCTGTGCGACTATCGCAGTAACCGCACGAGAAGTCACACATGCCGGCGTAGACGCACGTCGGACACAGGTACGTGCGACACGCGTCGCCCGTCGCGTATTTCACGCACAAGTCATCCCGAACTTGATCACGACACGCCATGCGCCACGCATTGTCGCTCGTGTACGGCGACGAAGCGCTCGCGCTTTCGCTCATTTTTTTGCCATCGAGCTCGAAATCGGTGATGGCAATCGGATAGCCCGAGGTAATTTTAGCCCGCATATAATTCCCGTATTCAAGCGTCGCGGAGGCAAGGCTCAGCGCGCAGGCGGACACGTCGACGGAGCTGTCCATGCAATTCAAGCCGATCGGTGCCTCTAATGTCTGGAAGGACGGTCCATCGGTCACGTTGTTGAACATGAACCAACCAGGGTCACTGGGAGCGGATGTCGGGGAGAAGTTTCGGCAAGTGGTCGGATTTGTCAGAGCGTGGCCTGCCATATCTGTCCCGGCAAACGTGGTACAAATGATTTCCAGCAAGCACTCGAGCGCCTTGGCGCCCGTCGAATTCGTGCGGGCGGGCGACAGCGTATTGCGTCCGACGAACGTCGAGAAGTCCCACGAAACAATACGCTCGGGCGACGCCGTGAGTTCGTGAGAACACTCCGTACCGTTGGTGTACAGGAAATACGTGAGAGAATCCATCTTTTCGCTCGTCCGAACGTCAACTGCGATATCTCCGCCGTGTAAAACGGCCAATTTATTCGTGGTCGGTTCGCTGAGCGCGACGGAGACCAAGTACGGTGGAGTGAAATCCACCGTGACAGTACTCGAACAAGACGTCACCTTGAAGCGCGTCATGCAGGCCTTACTACGGTCCGTCGAGCAAGAGTGCATCGCGATCGCAACCAGGGTCCATGGAACGACGTTTCCGTCCACGAAGTCTGGCGATACGTTGCTCACCCTGCGTGTCATCTCGACGGAGCACGTTTTTGCCGTACACGAAGTCGTCGCCACAACGTCGGCTCCTGCAATTTTCGATTCCACGATATCCATCGCCCCGTCTCCAGAGGGGGGAGCCGGAAGCGTCAAGTTGACCGTGACAATGTCATCATCTTTGGCGTGCCGCAGACTCACGGAGTTGCTACTCGTCACGTTACAAGTTCCGCCGCTGAGCTCAAACGCATCCGTCTCGCTCGCGGCTTGCAATTGCAACTTTTGATTCGAGAACGCATCCGTATTGAAAGTACCTGTGGCTGTGTTCTCTTGCTGCACGTCTTGAAGGTTGTACACTGCGTAGTTCAAGTACGCATTTTCGTTAGCGAGTTCTTGCGACACCGTGAACGCGAACGTCGCCGTGTAGCCGTTCACGCTCGTCGCTGGCACGCGGAGTACGTCGTTCAGGACAATGTGCAGCCCACTCGCAATGTATTCCGTGAACTCGATGGCGAGCGTGACGATATCGCCAGCGAGAGCGACGAATTCCACCTGAGATGGTGTGGGGTTCGTCACGCCTGGGTACGCACGACCGCCGCTACTGACGACGCTGAGCAAAGTGGTGGTGCTCGCACAGTTCGTGGAGCCTGCGCACGACGGCGCTATCGTGTCTTGCACAGCCCACGGAGCGGATCCGGGTTGATCGTACGCGGTGTCTGTGTTCCGTCCACAACTTACCGCCGGGTCGAACCCGGGTCCGACCGCGTAAGTCTGCGCGCTCGTGAGGTGATTGACATCCGCCGAAATGTCTGCGTTTGCGAAGAAATTCGTAGATGTTTCTTTGGACAACCACGCGCCAGTCATGTCTTGGAGCTGCCATTTGATTTGGAACGCTCCATCGCTCAGACCGATTTGATGCTTCGCCAGATATCTGAAGTTGACGTACCAGAGATTGTACGCGCCGGGCTCGGGAATGTACACCCGATCGTTCGTGTCAGTGCACGTCGGAGATTGCGCTGCGTACGCGCTCACGCGCAAGTAATATCTGTTTGGACACAGCCGTCTCACCGTGAACCTCCCGTTAACTGTCTTGCCCCGTTGGACCCAGAAGCCCGCGCACGTGACAGCCGCATTTGGATAATTCGGGACATTCGGGACGGGCTGACGGTAGTTGTACGACGTGCGCATCAACCAGTCGAGCCAATCGTTGTCATCCGTAAACGTGGCGCCATCGTTGTACAGTTCAGTTTCGAGCGCGAGCAAACCACGTCCCGCTAACCAAGCCTTCATCGACATCCCGCGTGATACGCCTGACTGTCCCGGAAGTTCAACGTGCATGGCGCTCGGTAGGTCTTCCACGTGCGTCGCCGCTGGAAGCGCTTCGTCGTTGCCCATCCAGGCGCGCACACCCTTTACGGGCTGATCAGTGTATAATTGAATCTGCAATGAGTCGCCTCGTTTCACGACGCGTCTGTATTCATTCCAACGAACAGTCTGCGGCTCAATGTACACCTCAATCACCTTTGGAGCGTTCTCCCAGCTGACCCTGGACACCGGATTCAAGTATGCAGGCGGCTCCCCCTTGAAGGCTAGTGGAATTGGCGCGCTAATGATGACATCGTTTGCAGACGCCACGGTGGGAATCACCGCGGTTACGTCACCGTTATCGGGCGATTTACTCACCTGACGCATGGCTGTCGCTCTGTTTGCGGATGGGTCGAGACCACCGATGAAAGAATATCCGAGAGTGCCCCAACCGTGTCGGCACCACGCCGACCACATCGGAATCCACAGCGAGCCACCGCCGAATGATTCAGCCTGACAATCCGCTCGGGCGCTCCACGCTAATGCACCTTTACCGACGAGATCGCAGGGATCCGTCATCACGGCCCTCGCTTGCCAATTCTTCTGGTACAATGTGACATCGTAACTTTGCCCAATGTAACCACTCGCCACGCTCACGGATTCCACCGCTCGAGGACGGAATTCTTTGCGAAAGCAAGCCGACTTGCCCGTGAGCGATCCACCCGAGCCGGTTATTGTGATGTAGGACTGCCGAATCGAAATCGAACTTGAAGCGCTGGATCGGAAATATGTGCCGTACGGTCGCGTGACGTGCTCGGACCACTCAGAGTTTATGACGACAGTGTCACCGAGGCGATACTTTCTCGCGCTCGGAGATATGACGTCGAAGTGATTGTAGGCGCTCGTCTCACTGCGAGAGTTCTGCCGCATCTGAGCCAGATCGGCGGCGTTAGAAAAAATATCACCATAACTGGGGCTCCAAACTATGGCTCTCGGCGGCGTGTTGTCGTACAACAATTGCGCCGCGTTGAGACGATCGCGGAGGGACGAGCTCGCTGTGACCCCCGCGGGTGCGCCCAGAGCCGAGGTGATGGGCAATCCTTGATTTCCAATACGATCCGTGAACGTGATGGAGAAATCGAGCACACCGTTTGGCACGTTCAGATCATCGATGCGTGCGTACGCCGCGTCCACATAAGTTGGATTCGTCAATCTCCTGAATTCGTCAACGGCGCGTGTGACACGCACAGGAGCCGTGTCCCGCACCCAGCGAAGCGCGGTCTGCCCCCCAATAGTACCACCGAGGGTGGCAACATTTTCGCCGTCCGGTTCAAATATGACGGCCACAAAATCTCCAGCCTTCGCGTACTTGGCCACTGTCAAGTTGACGTTATCACTCGTGCAACTCGAAGGTGCCTGTTTGCTCAGCCCCATCGCGTACGTTGGATTCACCACCCACGCGCGGATGATCGTGATCGGAGTGTTGTCCAGAACGACGAGAGCGACATCACTCCCCACCGGGTGCGTCACGGATTTAAAACCACGCGAAGGCAGCGTCAGCGAATTCGCCTGCGAGACGCTCACCGTAATTGCGCCAGAAGTTACCATGCTTGTGCCGACGACCACCGTAGCCGTGTAAACCGAGCCACCGGGTGTGCCTGTGATGAGCCCGTTCGGTACCGTGTAACTACCCAATGTGATGATTGGTTTATCTATCGCGTGCGATGCGCGCACGGTGACGGTGACGGTGTCACCGTATTTCGCTAATTTGTATGGCTGCAGCGTCCCATCAAGTTCTCCGGGCGGTCCGGCCATCGGTCGAACTAACGACAACGCCGGGTTATTACTTACCGTCGACACGGACGTCAATTCCGCTCTCACTTTTTTGATCTGCATGCTGTAAGGCCCTCTGTTACCACTATCTCCGGACACCACTATCGCGTACACGCGCTTCGTCGCGACGAACTTCAGGGAGCCACACTGCGTCGTTTGGAAGATGGCGCACGCCACTTGTTGGAAACCTCCGAACGGGGGATAACCCGAAGCCGCTTGCACGTAATTCTTCGCGTGAACGCGCACGATGCGCAGCTCGATGTTCTTCGCAGATGTAGCGTCGCTGACGCCCGAGGTCGGGGTCAACGTGAACTTCACCGTCGCACCAAACTCACTGCTAGGCACGCTAAACTCAAAACCTACTTGTCCAGCACCCGTCGAGGTGACGGGCGGGGGGAAATCAAACGTGCCAATGACGTCGCCACCACCCGGGGCGCTGCTACGATTTACGTCAAACCTGACTGTGTCCTTATTGGACGCTAACTTGTAATCAAATCGGACCTCGTACACGGCGAGACCCGTGATCCAGGGCGTGAATGAAAATTCTATTTTCCCGTCGTTGTTCCCCGGATCTCCGGGAGCCATGATGGAGGACGTGACGTCACGGAAGTCCACCTCATACACACCCACGATATTTCTCGTCGCCGAGCCGCACATGGTGATCTCTAACATTTCGTCCGTTTTTGAGTTGTAGTTCAGCGTGTACGTGCGATACCCAGAATTTTCACCAATATTAGCAGAACTCCTACACGAGTCCTGCAGTCTTGGATACGGAAATGCCTGCACAGTGTCCGTATCGCCGTCGATTTGGCGTGGCAAGCCCGCGACGCGCTCTCGTTTGCTCGCCGTCCCTTTTTCTCCGATGATGTACTCGGGTAGCTCGTCCTCGACATCGTCGACGTCGAACACTAAGCGGTCATCAAAGCTATCGTAAAAGTCATCGATCGGAACTTCATACTGTGCATAAGGATCCACTGTATCCGAAAGCGTCGCCGCAGACGTAGGCACCTGCGTGAGATACGCTGGAATCGTGCGATCGAATCCGTAAATGGCCACGAAAGTCATGCGGCATGCTTCGATAACCGCGGCGCGCGCGAAAGCGAAGCCCTCCTCCGTCATGTGTCTCTCGCACGCATCGTACATCTCACCCAAGTACTGGCATTGGTCGCACCACCGTTTCTCCCTGGCCGTCGGTGCCGCCGTGGCGGTACCCATTGTATTGGTACACGTGAGGGGCGTTGCGCTCGAGCGCGACTCCCAAGGAGCGTCATTCACCTGGTTGGTCGCGAAATCGACGCTCGTTGCGGATCCGGACGTAGCGCAGATGCCCGACGCCGTCGTGTTATTTGGCACACTGAGCACGACCACGAGTTGGGGGATCGAACCCGCGGTCAGACGCGTGATGTTCATCACAGTGGTCTCGGAGAGCGTGATTTGCAACAGTGTGGTGCTCGCCAACCCAGAGCTCACTGACATCCAGTTCGAGACACACAAAATACCGTTTCCGCCGTCGGAATACGGGAGAGAGGGGTCGGCTCCGTTGATTTTTACCGTGCCATCGTTCCACACCTCCACGCTCGCGTGCTCAGACGTACTCTTGAGTCCCACCGCCTCGATGACGCGACGCGAGTAGCCCGTGGAACTTAATCCCTCGTTAAATCGGACGACAAAGTCTCCATGCAATTTGACGTCGCGATAAGTGGTCAAGTTGATCGCACCGCACTCAGGCGTGACGATGCCACCAGACTCCGTACCTTGGTCTCGATCCACGGCGTTCAACAACCCGGTTGACGAATTCTTGGCAAACGGCACGACAGCCTCCGCGCCGAAGACGCCACAAACCTGTGGTGGGCGCTTGTACGCCGCTTTGCACTGAGGAACGGAGCAGAACTCCCATCGAGGCTCTCCACGCGAGTACGATCCGGTCAAAACCGTGTGATCGACGTAGCACCACGGATGCGCGTCGTTCGATGGGTTTCTGCACGCGTTGCCCTCATTCGCCAAAAAGCTAAATGGATGCTCAAACGGAGTCTGCGATGACCAAGCCTGGCACTGGTAGCCAGAAATCGTCAAGCTCGTCGTCCCATTGTACGCAATACTGGAATCATCCGTACACGCACCATCAGTTAGCTTCCTACCGCACTCTGGGTACGGTCCGTACCCCGTCAAACACGACGAGCAGTTTGCTGACGAGTCAAACCCCGTGTAACAGGAGCACGTCGTACCGTCGTCGTTGCACGTACCGTGCCCGTTGCACGAAATGCACGTCGCATCGCACAATTCACCGGTGTATCCGGGCGTGCACACGCACTTCTTGAGCGCAGGATTCCAAGCTCCGTTAACGCATACGGGCTGCGGAGAGATGACTGTGTCACACAGTTCCCCGCCGTAACCCGGGTCGCACTTGCACAATCCAGTCAAGGAATCGCATCGTCCGTTCACGCAGTCGCACCCGCTATCACACGAGCCTCCAGAGAACGCGCCCCGGCAAACACACTGCATGCTGCCGCTGACGCACGAGCACACGCCCGTCTCACTGTTACACGTCGCGCACGTGTCTTGCTCGCACAAACCCGTCAAGGAATTTCGCGAGAAGCATGGCTCGCAATCGCACACCCCCGTCGCCACGTTGCACGTACCGTGACCGCCGCACACGCTCTGCCCTGCGGTCGATATCATGCCCGGACACGCCACGTCGCAGTTCGTCCCGGACCATCCCGCCAAACACGTGCACGTTGCGTTCGCGTCCAAGCGTCCCGAACACACGGTCGAGTACGTGCCGTCGGCGTTGCGATACGTAAACGACGAACCGCACTCACATGTGCCTGCGACCGCGGTGGTCGATTCACATCGTGAACCAGCGGCACCTGGATAACAGAAGCACTCGCCGGTGGCGCCATCGCATTTGCCTCGCCGGGAGCACGGATTACTCAAGCCTCCCGGGCACATCTTCTCGCATCCTTCGCCGCCGTAACCGCTCTTGCACGTGCACGAGCGAGTCTCATCATCGCACGTGCCGCGACCATTACAAAAAGCGGTGATGACGTCGGTGTCGACGTACGCCGGCAACAGCGTCGAATCTATGGCGCCCGGACACGTCTCGCACGCGTTCGGACCGACGCTAAACGTGGAGCAACGGCCATCCTGTGGACCGCTCCCGTCGATTTTTGACGCCGTGCACCTGCCCGTTGTGTGGCACCAACCACATCCACTCACATCGGAGCACTCGCCGCACGTTAACGCCGACCCACACGTGTCCAAGCACTCACCCAAGACGTCGAAACCGCTCGAGCACGAGGCATTGCTGTCAATCCACGCGCACGACTTTGACGCCGCGCAGTATCCGCAGACGTCATCGGCGGCGCACGACGCGCACGAATCGTGACTTAAGCAGTGGTCGTCGCACTGCAAGCTACGAATCGAGAATCCTCTCAGCGCGACCGACGAAGGGATTGTCTGCCACGAGACAATGTTCGTCGTCTCATCAAACGTAGCAAGCTCCACTGTTTTCGCCGGAGTCGAGCGATCGATGAGCGTGAACTTCATCGAAATCTCGGCGTTTACGTCGTCTATGTGGCCGATGACGACTCCTCGCTGCACGCCCGCGCCAAAGAGGAACTTACCGCGACCGTAGATTGTGTCGAGCTCGTAACAATCTGACGATGAAGGAACGCTTGGATCGCACGAGGACGCGCTCAACGGCAGATCGCGCGGCTCCTCTATCGCGGCGCCCGTGAGCGGCGCGCCCTCCATGTACAACCCGATCGCACGATTGATCGAGTTCATCGACGAGCTCGAACTCGAGCTCTCGCCCGTGAGCACCACGATGTGCGCCCCGGCCGAGTCATCGCTCACAAACATGATCCTCACCGTGTTCTCCTTTTCGAACCCGGTGTTCGACGCCGCGAACGCCGCTGGCGCGCTCGCTCCGATATCCGCTCGATTATAAAACAGTTGACCCGCCGTGAGCGCTCGAGCGCTCGAATCCGCGCACGCCCCGCTCGCCGAGTTCGTCGCGTACGAAGTCGCGCTGAAATCAACCGTACGAGGCAGCGTCACGTTCTTCGCCGCCGTCGTGTTATAGGTGCCGTCTCCCAGCTTTAAACACGCCTTCATGAACGCGTCTTCGTACGTCGGGTGTCCCTTGGGAACGCGCGTGATCGGCCGAGTCGTGAGTCCGTGCGCCGCCTTCGCGCTCGAGCGCGTCGGCTCCCACCGCGCGCCGTAGCACACGTCCGCCGTCGGCGCCCCCAGCGCCTCCGCGACGAACGCCAGCGCGCACAACACCCGCACGACGACGGACACCCGCCGTCGCCGCCGTTCGACCCCCCCCCCGGGCCTCGCGCCCCTCGTATCCGACGAAACACCCATTCGAACCTTCTCTCCCGACGCACGCGTCGTCGTCGTCGTCGTCACCTCGCCCGTCGGTCGCGCGTTTTCGACCGCTCGCGCGGTCGAGGACGATCGCGGCATCGTCTCTCGCGCGCTCGCGACGCGCTCCGGGCTCGGGCGCGCGCGTGTGCGGTGCCCGTCGCCGCGGTCACCGCTCGGGCGCTCAACACCCTTTCGCGTGTGTCAGCACCGCACGAGTCATGACTCGCGAAGAAAAGTCGGCCGCGGTGCCGACGACGCGCGCCCGCACACGGGCGCGCGCGAGCGATGGCGCGCGCGCACCGGAACCGACGCGCGAGCGAGGTGAAGTGGACGCTCGCGCTCGCGTGCGCGCTCGCGCTGAGCGCGCGCGAGGACGCGAGCGCGCGTGGGGGGGGCGACGGCGCGCGGGGTGTTTTTAAGGATGGACGAATACGTCGATTTGTGCGCTCGATCGGACTCGCGCGCGGCGCGAGCGCGGCGTACGGGGATGTATTGACGCCGTGGGACCCGAGGGATGAGTCGATCGTCGCTCCGTTGCGGTGTCAACGCCGAGCGGTGTTCGGGGAGTGCGTCCAGGAGGTCGGGTGCGGTTGGTGCGACTCGCGCGGCGTGGACGGACGCAATCCGACGTGTTACTCCTTGCTCGACGTGGATCTGTGCGCGTCGCACTTGGAACCGATTTTACGAGCGCCGGTGAGGGTGGCGGGGACGAATAGGGTGACGATTCCGTGCGACCCGCGGTGCGCGGCGATTGGCGACGAGCAGCACTGCGCGTCGACCACCGGATGCGGATGGTGCGCTTCGTCGGGGTCGTGCATGAGTGGAAGCGCCGCGAATGGGCCTTGTGTAGCGTGTGATTCGGGGTGGAGTTTCAGCGCGGTGACACCGACGTGCCCGGGGGCGTCGAGTGGGACAAACTGTAACGAGTGCGGGTGCTTGAACAACGGAACGTGCGCGACGACGAGCAAGGAGTGCATCTGCAACGATGGGCACACGGGTAGCTTGTGTCAGTACGATACGACGACGAACGGGGGGCGCGACGCGTGCCACGGGCACGGTACGTGGAACGCGTCGGCATCGGACTGCGAGTGCGATCGAGGATACGTCGGCGTGGGAGACAACCGCTGCAAATTCGCATGCATCGCCTCGGAAGATTGTAACGGCCGGGGCTACTGCTCAGAGTTGGATGGTACGTGCGTTTGTGACGTGGGTTGGGCCGGTGCGCGGTGCGAATGCCATTCGAGCGCTTTGACAAGTTTCCCATATCCGGATCCGCTGTTGAACGCAAACAAGACGGGATGCTGCGCGTACGGATTTGAACAGTGCCCAAAGGGATCGATGAATGAATATCACTGCGTCGTGGCCCCAGCAGACGCGTCAAAGTGTCCGGTCGAGTCATCAGACGACGGCACGCTGGTACTAATGGGCATTTTACTGTTTTTTCTGGGCATGTACCTGGCTGCGGCAATCATCGCAGCGTTGGCGGGCCACCCAAATCCGACGTGCACCATCGTGTGTCGGCTGCCCACAATAGTTCGACTTCGGGATTCACTCTTCATGCGAAACCCTGAGGACATTGAAGAAGTGCAGACCATCACGTTAACGTGCAAGCTGACGGATAACTTCCTCAAGGTGAAGCGCATGATATGTCGTCGTCTCAAACATCAACCAGATCCGGAATCGGTGGACCTGTTTTACTTAGGGTGTCTCGTCGATCCAGGATGGCGATTGGGAGATGGCATCAATGTGGGTCAAACTTGCCACGTGCACTTGAAGCTACGAGGTGAGCAGCAAACGGAGGCCTACACGGAGAAGAAGAAGTGGTGGAAGCGCCTGAGATTTGTTTTCACCGATAACTTGATCATGCTTTTATCGTACACGTTCTTCTTCCTGGTCTTGTTCTTATGCGCTACGACGTTTCCATGGGATAGTAAAAGGCCTATTGCGGTACCTAGCCCGCCGCCCGCGCCGTCACCTCCGCCTCCACCGTCACCACCACCACCGCCATCACCTCCGCCACCCGTTGTGCAAACATTTCCTCCACCACCGCCGGCGAGCTGGATCGAATGGTTGAATCTGCAAAACTCACTAGGTGTGAACGAAACGTACGGTACTAATTCGTCGTATCTATCTATGGCGGATGTCGGGTACATTCCCGCCAATATATCGGCTTTGACACAGATCACGACGAATTATGGCACGCAGCTCCCCGTCACTGGGAACCACTCCGGAAACATTGTCAACTTTTACACTTACGAGGACGCGCCTCTTTGGCAACGGGAGCTTCCGTTATTCACCGACAGCAAAGGTATTCCTTTCGTGGCGGACATATTCGTCGTGTGCGATCCACAAAAAGCTGTTGAAGCGAACTTCAAAGTAGATATGCAGTCTGGTTACGGGGTGACGAGCTATCAACCGAAACCAGATGAGAACGGCCTAGATGTTTTTACTTACCGCGGTCTGGTCAGTAAAGAAGTCGCCGACGCTTTGGGGCTCATTGCCGACGGGACCGTTGACTGTAGCTCGGCTGTTCTGCAGCTTTACAACAATTCGTGCTTGACAGATATTTACGAGGTGAGAGTAGACATCGCGAAGCGTAATGATTACCCCGTCGCAGCGAACGGGCAAGATGTGTTGAGTTATGCAAATTCAGTGGATATGATTGAGAAGCGCACGAGTGGTAATTATTTGTCGACGAATAGTTTCTTGACGAAGCCAATGGTCGCATCCGACATCGACAATGATCAGCTCACTTGGACGATTCAGAAGTTGCCTCTTCACGGCACACTCGAAGTTCCTGTAACGCGCGAATCGACCTCAAGCACTTTCACTTACGTGCCGGCCATCAACTTTACGGGATATGATTATTTTGTCTATTCCGTGGATGATCGCTTGAATAACCCGACGCAGACGTTGTATGACGTAGCGAGCGTAATGGTTGTCGTCGGCTCGGGTGGCGCTCCCGAGGCAATTGACACGCACTGGTGGGTTCTCGAAGACCACGTGATGACCGGTAGGTTCGCGCGGACGGTCATGAATAGTTCGTATGCTGGAACACTTAAATACACTGCGCGAGATCCCTTCAATGGCACGATGCAATGGTTGTGCGACGTCAACGGAGAGCACGTCGAGACTGAGTTTTCGAACTGTACCAATTCTGCGAATGATGACATAAACAACAAATTTATGTGGTTCAAGTACACACCAAACGCAAACTTTACTGGCAGTGATTCAATTCACTTTTCGATTGCGTCGTCTCTCAACTTAAACACTACATCATACTTGAGTGAAGGCATGGTGAACATAACGGTGAGACCAGTAAACGATCCGCCGGTGTTGAGTAACATGAATGTGCAAGCAATCATGAATAGGGACCGTTCCTCAGATAATTTGGGCGGCGCTGACCTGACTCCTATCACGTTCACACCGTTTGACGTCGATGCCGGCCCTTATTTCAAACTCTTTTTAACATGGAAGCCCATCATGACGCAGAGTGACTGGGCGACGAGGAGCCGCGGTCGTTGGTTTTTGAGCGTCGATAGGTACGGTCGTCCTTTGAACGAGCTCTCGCACGGACAGCTCGATCAGCAGGGCATCCAGAGCAATTCAAGTAACATCACGCTGTACTACCTGCCACCACCGTTTTTATATGGTGAGTTTTCGTCAACAACGGTCGCTCGCCCGAATCCGTTGGAAAAGTACACAATGCGGGTGGTGGATGATGGTCGCCTGGTCAGTAACGAGGCGACGCTGAACATCCACGTCGGGTGCTCTAAGGGCTACACGATGCAACCAAATCCAAGCGCTACCGGCCTGGCGCTTACATACGGTAAGTGTCAAGAGTGCCCACTCGGGCACGTTTCTGACACGATCAACGCAAGAGACTGTCGCGCCTGCCCACGCGGTCAGTACGGCGGAACGGTGCAGAGAGGGACGTGCTCTCGGTGTGCCAATGGCTATTACTCAGACGCCCCAGGCATGGCCACGTGCACGAAGTGCCCGGCGGGTAGCACATCTGTTCAGGGAGCTACATCGCGAGATCAGTGCTTCTGCAGCATTGGTTGGTACGGCGTCCCAGGTTACTGTTTCCCTTGCCCATCATACAGCGAAACGTTTGGAGCGAACGAGAAGTGGACCTTTTGCGCTGAGACGAACCTCACAGTGCCTTACCCTCAACCGGGCTTCTATGTTGTATCTCCGGAAACGCGTACGTATAAAGAACCGATCAGTGTTCGCCAATGTTTTCCAGCTACAGCATGCCCAGGTGTCAACGGAATCGCCGGTTCGTGGCAAGTGGACTCCATCGCAGCGGGTGGAACTCGAGCGGATAGCGTGGAGTGCGCGGAGGGCTACATGAACGACGGATGTGAATCATGCGTGAAGGGATTTTATCGTCTCAATGGGCAGTGTTTGAAGTGTGGTTCGCAGATGTCACACTTGCTTTACGGAATCGCTCTTGTCTTAGTCGTTGTGGCGGCGCTCATTATGCCATGGATTTTCGAGGAATCGACCAACCCCTCATACATCACGTATTCGCGCTCGCTCGGGCTTGTGGTCTTTTTGCAAGAAGTTGGCATGATCGGTAGATACAACCTCGGCTGGATGGACTTTCCGGGATTGACGTTAGTCCTTCAACTGTGTTACGTGCTCCAGTTGAACCCAGAAGTCATCGGCCTCGAGTGCGTCTCAGACTACGACTTCATTCGCAGATGGAACTCGTTGATGGCGATGCCTGCTCTTGGCCTCCTACTGATGTACGGTACCGCGCAACTGTACGCTTACGTGTGGGGCAAGTTTTATATTAAGCATAAGCCAGAGGTGTCGACGGTTCGCGTCGGCCAGCGCCGATGGGTGAGAATGTTGAGGAGCATTTTGAACGTGATTCAGATCACGTACATCGCTGTGGTCATCTCTACACTCGACTTTTTCATCTTCCACCGCTCGGTCACAGATGGTCTTGGGTACATCAGAGCGCAGCCAAGCTTGAGATTTGGTTACTTTAAATCCGAAACGGGAAGCACGCAGTGGCAAAAGCTCTTCCCTCTCGCGCTGATAGCTCTCATCGTCTATCCCATCGGATTCGTCGTCATCATGTACTCAGTCATCACGTTCGCACACGGCGGTTGGCATAAGCTATGGAAGCGAGATCTGATTGGATTCGCCACTTATACCTTTACGGATGATTACGTGACGCATCGAGTGATGGATATGTGTCGAACCGCGGCGCTGTGTTTCATTCAGCTCCTTGGATGGGAGCTGAGCGATGGTAACGGCGTCGTTCAGGCGCTCGCTGCTCTCCTCGTGGTGAGCGGCGCTGTCTTGAGCATGATCATTCGACCTTTCAAAATGTCAGAGACCAAAAGATATCTTAGTCTGCATCTGTTCACGTTGGTACTTGTACTTATGCTGTCAGTCGTGTCCATCGCGCCGGTGTCCTACATCATCGATCAGAATACGAAGACTGCCTGTCGACACGCAGTTTGGCAAACCATATCCGTCGCCGTCACCATCTTCGTTCTCAATATCTTGTATGAGGTGTTCTCCGAGACAGACCTGGTGAAGAGACTTCGCTGGAGTGTGGTGCGCTTCCAAAAGAACGCCATTATTCGCATGTGTGGCCTTTGTACGCGCAATAACGGTTCAAGTTGGTTGCGTTCGAGAGACTGGGAGGCGTGGGCCCCGACGCTCACCCTCCTCAAACCCAGCGCGGGCGCCATCTTAAAGCTTGAATCAGCCGAGGGAGATCAGGGACGGCACTATAGTGGCGAATTCGATGCGCAACAGCGTATGGAGTTCGCTCGCGCCATTCGTTCGCTCTGGAGACACAAGGAAGTCATCAAGCGCGTGGGCTCTCTCGACAATAAAGCCAAATCCTACTACAAAATGCTCTCCGCGCCGCTGCGCAGATATTTGATTCGTGCGGCGTCGGTGGAAGATCGAGATCTAAATCGTCGTGTCACATTTTTTATCGAGCAAAAAATGCTTGAGAAAAAGTACGACTACTACCGCAAGTACTACCGTCAACAGCAGAAGGATTTGAAAGGCGACAGGGTGAACTTAAATCCCCCTGTCGAAGCATTTTTATTGCGCAGTGGCGGCATCGAGCGAGCCAAGTCGAACAGGACGACGGAGCAGGAAGAGAAGGATGAGCGCTTACAATTGGACGACTTTGACGCTCTGGCAGATACCGGATTCAAGCAGAAACGAGCGTTACAAACGGATTCAAACGAAGCAGCCGATTTGGATGAAGAGGAGCTTCATTTCCAAACCGCTGACACGTCTGGTCGAACGCACTTCGTTCGCTTCCAAGGATACTTTGGCGATATTCATCCTGATTGGGACGCGTACGACGAAACTCTAGCGAAGATCAAAGCGGAGGATAACGACGAAGATGGCGGTGTCTTGCCGTGGCACCTGGATCTCGAGGACGCACACGACGACTTCTGCTGCCTATGCGAGTGCGAACCGGGAGAGCGCTGTCCTCGCCACGGCAATCTGTACGTTCTCATTATGCAAGACGAAGAAGAAAAGGCTAGGCTTGCGGCGGAACGCGAGCGGCACTTCCGAACGAGAGAGACGATCATCATCACAGAAGAAGATCCCGATCGCAATAGGGATTTGGGATGGAACGTGCGTGTACCCGTCCGTCTTGGGGAAGAAATTTCCAGCGTGCACACAAAGCTAGCATCCGAGTTGCGGGACATGCGCGACCGAGGTGAGTTCGCCGCAGAAGATGAGCTCCCTGCTGTCACCGGCAGCCGATTCGATATAATTCACAAGAATAAGATTCTTGATAAGCACCATACGGTGCGCGACGAGCACCTGCAATGGAAGGCGGAAGTTAAACTTGAGAACCGTCAAGGTGATCTAGCGAAAACAACTGCCTGGTTGATTCTTCAGGAAGAAGATGAAGACGAAGAAGAAGACGAAAGAATGCACGCGCGATCCCCACTTGAAGAGCAACCAGTGATGGAAGCTGCGCCGATGTTGCCGGGCGTCTTACAAGATAACCCGGGCATGGCTGTTGGCGACTTGCGCCGGATGCTTGCCGAATCGAATTCCAAGCCGCATGAACGAGCAATCTTGCGCTCTCGTAAAAGCGGCAAGGAGTACATCAACGACCTTCATCCGCTCACACGTAAGAATATCAGCAAGCCATCGGACGTGTTGATATCGTTTGAACCTGAGGACGGTAATTACTACGTATGGAGTGAGATTCGTAACCACTGGACATTCTTGGAGGCGCTGTTCAAGGTATACGCTTCACTCCCGTCTGGGCCAGGAGGTAACGAAACTCGTGGCAAATCCGAGCATCTTCTACTGATGTCATATCGTCAGTTCATGTACCTCACTTCGAGCTGCGAGATTGGCGCAAAACTTCCCAACGCTCAGTACAATCAGCTGGCTTCTGTCGTACGCCAAATCTTTGACACAGTCAAGGACCAGACGTTACTTGCGAAGTGCCTGACACTTGATCGTGACGATGGTTCGGTGGAAGGATCATTGTGCCCGAGCGAGGGAGCCAGACTTGAGCTTCGTATCTCTCACGGGTGGGGCATGCACTTGGACGAATATCTCACAGCACTCGTCTTCATGGCGTGGCTGATATATGGTCATCGCGTGCCGATGACAGACAGAGGCGTTGCGCGCGCCACTCGCTGGTTGATCGAGCGTATTCTGCGTCCCAAGGCGACTCATCTCGTCGAAGCGTATGAGGCGCAAGCGAAATACAATGCGGCCATGAAGAAGCAGGGAGGCAAATACTCAGATGCGGATATTCGCGCCGGCAGCCACGTCTATAAAACGTTCACCACTGAGGACGGCATGAACGTCAGAGAATTCAAAACGGCTGCAATGTGGGTCCTCGGTGACACCAATCCGCTCAACAGATTTGGCGAGCAAGTGTTCCACACGTACGTCGATCATCGTTCGTCCACTCCCGAATGGGTCTACCACGGAGCGCGACACGGCTGGGTCGCGCCGATCGACGAAAAGCCCGATGGATACGTGTGCTGTCAGCATGCTCGCCTCCCCGCTACAAAGTTTATGGCCGCGTTTGGCGATATCTGCTTCCGATTCAAACCGAACATGACGCCATCCGAGGCCCTTCAAGCGGCGACTGGCGAAGCGCAAGAGAGGAAACCATTAGGGGAGCCTAAAAATATACATGCTGTGATCGAAGAGCCAAGCGAAGAAGCAGCGCGTAAGGCGATCGTGGCGCCCGCCACGGTTGGAAGAATTATATGTCCAAACTGTGGAATAACGGTCAAGCCGCCGAATGAAATTTTCATCGCTCCGGACGACATGAAGTACTGTCACGAGTGCCATGTCTGTCGCAACTGCGGGGCACCGTGTTCGCCAGACGACGTGATCGAAACATCGGCCGGTCGCAATTACTGTCCCAAGTGTTTCCCAGCGTGTCCGAATTGCGACGCGCCGTGCGAACCAGAGGACATCATCGAAGGGACGTACTGTCCGAAGTGCCTGCCGTTCTCGTGTCCAAACTGCGACGACACGGACTGCGTTCCCAACGACATCGTCAAAGGACCAGACGGAAGAGAATATTGTCCGAAGTGCCTGCCGTTCTCGTGTCCAAACTGCGAGGACACGGACTGCGTTCCCAACGACATCGTCAAAGGACCAGACGGAAGAGAATATTGTCCGAAGTGTCTGCCGTTCTCGTGTCCAAACTGCGAGGACACGGACTGCGTACCCGAGGACATCGTCAAAGGACCAGGTGGTAGAAGCTACTGTCCAAAGTGTCTACCGGCGTTCCACTGTCCGAATTGCGACAGAGAGATGGATCCGGAAGACGTCATGCCCGGTCCCGACGGCGAGGAATACTGCGCTGTGTGCTATCCTGAAGAAGAAGGAAATCCCGATGACGAGGACGAGACGTACACGGTGCCGGCGTTCTCGGCACCGAAACCCGTCAAGAAGGAACGCAAGCGCGTCGCTCGCGTGCGCAAGATCACCAAAACCGTCCAAGACGACGAGGGCATCGCCCGTCCGAAAGCCTTCGCCAGAGCTCCCACTCGAGTCGATCGTGAAGCCGCCGAGCACGGAGATCGCCAGCGCGTCGCTCGCGTGCGCACGATCACCAGAACCGTCCAAGATGACGAGGGTATCGCTCGTCCGCGACCGCTCGCTAGCGCTCCCAGCGCCAGAGCTCCCACTCGAGTCGATCGTGAAGCCGCCGAGCACGGAGATCGCCCCAACCCCGACGCCGACGCCGGTCCGTCGCACCCGTACGGCTTCGGGCCCATGGGTCGCTTTTTCCGACGAGGAGGTTAGATGATGCGCGCACGTCGCGCGCGCATCGCCGAGTCCAGTGTAACTCACGATATCAACGCGCGCACCCCGTCTCCACCCCTCTCGCCCGCCCAAAGCGCGCGCGCCTAGAAAAAAAACGTTTCATCTTCCAGAGGGGAACGATGGACCCCTACCGACGCGCGCGCGCACAAAACATCGCGCGCGTCGGCCCCGAACGCACACCGCGACGACCCATCGACGCCCTCGACGCGTGCGCTCGACCGCGGACGCGCGTCGCATCGCGCGCGACCGCGGCACGGCGCGCGCGGTCGATCCAGGGCGCGAGAGACGACGCATTTGACAATTTGAATTCATTCAAACCGTTGGTGGCGATGACGAACGATGGGCCCGACGCGCGCGTCCTCGCGACGCGCTCGGGAAACGAGGCGCGAGAGACGACGCGGGCGAGTGGAGTGAAAGATGGCGCGACGCCGCGGCGACGGGTGTCGTTTAAGACGATGGAGGGGGAACCGGCGGGGAAAGGGAACGTCGGATTGGGCGAAGGTGCGCGGAGCGACGCGACGCGCGATGATGATTGCGACGACGGAAGAGGGATCGAGGGCGTGAGAGGTCGATGCGAACGCGATGACTGATGAGATGCGTGTGTTTTGATGCGTGGCGCAGGGACGACGCGATTGGCGAGGTTGCGCGCGGCGCGGGCGGCGGCGGCGGCGGCGGCGGCGGCGGGCGGGAAGCCGGCGGGTGCGTTTGCGCCGACGACGACGCGCAAGGAGCGATTGCGATTGCGGAGAGGGACGGGAAGAGAGATTTCTTCGCGTCCGTTCGTGATCAGGGTGAATATTCCGGGGATCATGAAGCAGAAGAGCTCGAGTGATATGGACGTCTCTGGCGGGAGCGAAGCAAACGACTGGCGCGCGGCGACGAGCGTCATGAGCATCGTGGAGATTGGTGAGGACTCGCACGCGAGCGCGGGAAGTGGAAGCGGGAGTGGTGCTTCAAACGTGAATCCGTTTAAGGTGAACGTGGGTTCGGAGGATGGACCGAGACCGATGTTCCGACCGTCCACGGCGCACCTGCGCGCGGGCGAGCAAACTCCGGGCGGTGCCAAGCCGTCTCGGGACTCGACCGCGGGCACGCCGAACGCAGCCGAGGCGCTGGCGATGATGATGCACTCCGAGTATCCCGAGGGTTTGCCCGAGGAGATTGCAGGTGTCTCGCACTTCGCCACGACGCAACGCGACGAGCCGCCGCTCGCGGATTTCCCGGGCGAGGCAGACATGGAGATCGGATACGACGACGTCATGCCGTACGATGATGACGGCTTCGTCGAGCCCGCTGCGCCGCGAAAGCGCACCACGTCAGGGGTGCCGCACAAGCGCCTTCGCGCCGAGATGGAGCGACGCAAATCACTCGCGTTGGCTGGCACTCAAACGGTGCAGGGTGGTGTGCGTCGATCGACGCGCCAGCGCTCCAAGCCGCTTGAGTACTGGCGCGGGGAGACCAAGGTGTATCAGCGCGTGCACAGTTCTCTACCAACGGTGGCGCAGATCGAGAGACGAACTGCGAATCCGATTTGGCCGCGCAAGACACCCGGGGGACCGTCACAACCGTTCCGCGTGTCGCGACTTCGACCGGCGGAAATTCTTCGCGACTTCGGTGTGGATCTCCCCGATCCATCGCCCCTGGATCGTCGAGGTGTACGATACGGTTTGATGTCGCCCGCTGAGCAACCGGTAGCGGCAAACTGGGCGGAGAAGTACGGCATCCACCCGCTCGTGAAACCAGTTCCGCCTGGCCGCGGTGTACCGCTCTTGCGCGAAGAAGACGTCGTTCCGTCGGACGTCGACGAAGTATCCCGACCGAAGAAGCGAGGACGAAAGCCCAAGGCGGTGAAAGAAGCGGAAGAACGCGCGGCAAACGAGGCGTACATCGCATCTGCCGTGGCGGAGATTATGAACAACGTCGTCGCCGCCAACACCTCGCCGGAGGACGTCCAAGTCGACGTGGAGGCGGCCGCGACGGTGGAGGCGACAGAGATCGACGTAGTTGAAGCAGAGGTCGTCGCCATCGCCGAGTCGGAGGAGAAGGATGAGGATGATCTGGACGAAGATGAGGCGGAACGCGAGGCGGAGCGACTCGCTGACGAAGCCGTCGCCGAGGTGGAGCGCGAATTGGCGGCTGAACTCGCGGAGGAGGAGGCTGAGGCGGCAAAAATCACGATGGAGCAAGACATGACGGCGGTTACGGAGGATGAAGAAAAGGAAGAGCCCGTCCTTGGAGATGTCGAAGAGGAAGCGGACGCGCGTCAAAGCGCCAAAGCGGATGCGGAAGAGCCGACGACGTCCGCTGTACCCGCATTCACTGAAGAAGCAGAATGCGTGATCGATGACGAGGAAGCCAACATTGAACCCACGACGGTTGTCACAGCCGAAGTGGAAGAGGACGCGATTGTGCTTCGCGAACTCGACGAAAACGTTGATGAAGCCATCGACATGGAGATCGACGCGCCGCCATCCGTCGCAAAACCGACGGTCCAGGAGCCGATCGAGGGCGTTGAGTCCGATGTTGACGCAAATTAGTCATCTCGTGGTATAATTTTACACTGTACCCCCATCGTCTACTCTAAGAACTAACGATCGAACGCCGCTCGACACGAACGCCGAGCTCAGTGACCGCAAAGGCGTACCGCGAACGTCGACCCCCGCCCCCTAACCACGCCCCCGTCTTGTGCGTCGTCTCACACATCCCTTGCGCGTCCTCTGCACCCCCCGTCGCGAGCGGAATTAACCGCATCTCACAATCGCACGACTCCGCGATCCACCGCTCGAGCGTCCCGCAGTCACCGTGCGCGCGCGTCACGACGTCGAAACCCAAATCCTCCCCCGCAATCGCGTCCAAAAACCGTTCCAACGCCGTCGACGACGACGACGGACACAGCGAATCCGCGCCGTCGATCACCACGCACGCTCGCCGCTCGCTCGACGTCGCGTCTTCGCTCGACGCGGCGGCCGCAGCGGCGGCGCGCCCCGCCGTCCGCGTCCCCGCCAACGTCGCCATCACGCGCGTTTTGTCGTCCCCGAACGCGTCCCCGAACGCGTGTGGATCCACAATCGTCAACGTCCCGCGCTTTAACGCCCGGTCGAGCGCATCGCGGGACTTTCGAGAGATTTTCTTGCTCAGCCTGAGAATTTCTTCGCTCGATCGCTCGCACGGGATCAAAACGACCGCGATGGAGCGCTCGACGAGCTCACCGACGATTGCGGAGACGAGCCAATCGCCCGGAGCGTCGATGTGGTCCGTGAGGGCGAGCGCGCGTGGGGTTCGGGTGCGCGCGGTGAGCTCGACGCCGAGCGCGGTTGATAACATGAAGCGTCGCGAAGTGCGGTGGACGCGGAGCGGTCGATCGATGTCGAGATCGGTGACTCGCGAAGGCGATGGATATGCTTGAGTCGTATTGAGCGCTATTACAACAGAAAAGACGCGCCCGGTTCATCGTTTACTGAATTCAGGGACGCGCGCGCCGAGTCTGGACGGCGTTGACGTTGCCTTCATTGCCAAATGCTTATTGATGGCTTCAAAATCATTCGCCGAGGACGGATCGCCGTGTATGCTCTCGCCGATGGTGGCGAAGAGACTACGCGTGCGTGGCGTCGATGGTTCGCCCTGCACGGCGGCGTCTTGAAGCATGGCGGCTTCGCGCTCCGGACGCATTGGCGAAACGTAAATGTTTTGGTTCTCAACTGGCAGCCGTCTGCGCGGGGATGATATCCCGAAAGGAAAGGGTTCATCCACGGATACCTTCTCACCGTCGGTGGTCTTTTGAGCTGCGAGTGCCTCGGCGCGCTCTCGAAGCGCCAACAAAAAGGTGCGCACGCGGGAGACGAATACCTTGTTGTAAAACGAGATGATGTCGCCTCGCGTCGACACCTCTAGCTCAGGGTCAGTTTGCTCGATCACCACGGTCCAAAAGATCTCCTCCGTGCACTGCGGCTGCTTTGAGTACTGATATATGATGTCTTTGAACTGCACCGCGCCGCCGCACCCGCCGTTCACCTTACACACGCCATACACCGAGGCGAGGATGATTTGATCGACGTGCCTGTTGTACACCAGATTGGTCTGTTCGTAAATCACGTGCTCAATCAAGGCGTAGACGTCGCGCGTGACCTCCGGTGAGAGCTTCAACCTCGACGCCAGGTCCCCAAGTCTCCTCGCCGCGAGTTGCATGACCTTGGCGAAGAAAATTTGAAGCGCCTTGAACGCGCACACGTCGCACCCGATCGGTTGCTCCACGTCGTGATTTCTGACGGCGGCAAATCGCTCGGGGAGCGGCTGACCACCGGGTAGCTTGCGTCGAGGCGTCGTCGCGCCGCGCAACGGCGACGAGAACACGGTGAACGCGCTTGTAGGAGGACGTCTCACGGGAGAGTGACACTGCGGCATGACAAGATCCTTCTCCGCGGCGGCGTCGCGAGCGGGCTCGCCCATGGCAGCCACCTCGGCAATGGCCGCTACGTTGAACATCGGAGACACTGGTCGCTTCGGGATCGACGTCGCCCTGGGGTTCGATGTCGACGTAGACGTAGTTCCACCTCGATTCACGCTCTCTTGAAACGATTGTAAAAAGTCAAAGAGAGCCGAGCCCTTGCACCATGCGAGGCGCTCGAGCGTCTTCTCCTCCAGAGAGTTGAAATGACGTACGATCTCTCGCGGGAGATCCATGTCCGCTCGCACGAACGGCTCGATGATAGTGGTCAAATCGAACGGATGTATTCCCAGCAGGTGCGTCGTCGCCGGAAACGTGAGGGTGGACGTCTTGTACGTAGCGACGATGACCTCCATGCAGCACGCGAGCAAAGACTTGGTGAACCGAGAGCTCTGTAAGAGCGCCACGATGTTCGCATCTTTTTTCACCTGCGACTCGGCTCGTAAAATTCGGTTCAAAAAGAAAAAGAAGATGTGCACGAGCTCCGTAGTGCGCTGACGGACGAGCTCGTCCATAACCATACTGTGCGGACTGATATCAGTGCGCATCGTTGTCACCAGCGCGTCCTCTCGAATCGCCTGTCCGAGGCGCTGTCCAAGAACGTCCACCTTTTTGTGCAGTTTATCAATGACAGTTTCTTCCCCTGGAACGAATCGTCTTAGCTCCGCGAGCTTGGTCTCAAGATCCGAGCTTGCGCACACAATGTCTTGAAGCCAAGACGCGCTCGCCATGGCCTGACTGATCGGCGTCGGCGGAACTACACCCGCCGGCAACGGTCCTCTGATCGCACGCATGGGGCTCATTGACATTCCCCCATCTTCTTGGATCGTTGAGATCTTCTTGGGTCTGTACGGTGAAAACGGCGCGGCGGCGCGTTTGCGCCTCGTGGGCGTCGCCATTGAGCCGTGAGTCGTCTCCGTCGCGCACGACGCGAGATCGCCGATGATTTTCCTCCCACGAGAGTCTTCGCCCTCCATTTCCGTGTACAGATACAGCGTCTCGTCCACGGCGAGACGGCCGAACGTCTCAGCGGCGACGCGTCGGTACCTCTCCATGACGGGCGACGCGACGTCGGCGTCTCCGTCGAAGACGCCTCGGACGCACGCGTCACTCGGCGCGACGTCCTCAAAGTGTGAAGTGACATCGAACACGGCGCTTGGAAACGTCGCTTTGAGGACGTTGATCACCGCCACCGACATCGCGCGCACCGTCTCCACCTTTGTCTTTGAGCTCGAGCTCAGACTCGCGAGCGGATCTGGCAGCCCCGTCACCGCGTCCTTCGCTGTCATGCTCACCATGTTCTTTAACGACGTCCGCAAGAGCTCCCTCGGTGCGTTGACGAGTAAAAACGCCTCGACAGCGACCAAGAGATGATAGCACGAGTACAGATCGGGAAACTTCGGCAAGGCCTCACACTTGGCGCACTGATACACCGCCCACCCGAGCCGCGCCACCGTTCGCCCACCTCTCGAGTCCGCGTCAAAGTGCACGCGAATAAACTCGTGAAACTTCTTCGCGATCACCTTATTAAACGCGAACGCGCTCCGCATCTCCCGTAATCGCATCGCCCGCTCCGCCTCGGCCACCGCGGACGAACCGAGCGACGGACTCTTCAACCGAGTCGCGAGCGCCCGCGCGCCCGCGCTCAAAAACTCCGGCATCGCATCCAGCACCTCAACCAACGTCGTTTCACAATCTTCCAACACCCCCGTGACGTCCCCACCCTCGCCCGCGGCGCCCGTCGCGCCGCCGTCCCGAACCGCGTCCTCCGCGTCCAACAACCCGAGCGCCGCCAGCGCCCCGCACGCCGCGCGCGTCCCCTCCCCCGCGCCGTCCGACTCGTTTCCACGCGCCGACAGCGTCCCGCGCGCGGCGTCGAGGACGTCTCGCATCACCCGTCGCGCCTCGTCGCCACGCGCGTGGCCATCCACCGCGCGAATCGCCATCGACGCATCGTTCCGCGCCATGCCTCGCGCCGTCACCGCGCGCGCGTCCACGTCGCCGTTCACGCGCGCGGACGGCACGCGCGACGTCGCGATCGACGCGCGCGCGACGCACGGTCTCGCGCGCGCGCGTGGGCGTCACGTCGCGCGCGACGTCGCGCGCGCGTTTTCCCGCCGAAACTGTTGAAAACGCCGCGGTCGGTCGTCTCGTATTCGGCGTCGATATCGCCCATCACGACGCCGAAGTGGACGCCCCGGGCGGGCGGGCGCGCGTGGGCGTGTACATAGGTATCACGTGAGGTTCTCTACGAATGCATACATAGTACTCTAGATACGTATACCACCATGTAGAGCGTGAACGAGACATCGACGCCGCGGATGGCGCGACGGGGCGTTGTCACCGCTGTAAAGGGATGTATATATGTGAATGTAGGGTTCAGCGAGCCCACGCCCACGCGCGCGCGACCGCGACGACGGCCATCGCGCGACGCCGCGCGCGCGCATGTTCGCCCGCGTCCGTCGCATCGGTGGACGTTCCACGCGCGCGTTCGCCCGGCTCGCGCGCGAGGCGAAGCAGCGGCGGACGCACGAGCGGGACGCCAACGCGGGGGTGGTGGTGGAGAAGACGAGCCACGGAAAGACGCGATTCCAACGCTTGCGATGCGACGTGCGACGCGCGAGAGAGGCTGGGAAGTCGTGGGTCGACGCGCTGCTCGATGGCGCGACGATGCGCGCGCGACGACGACGGGCAGAGACGTTGACGCGGGCGCCGTTTCAGCCGGTGTGGTTGAGACAAGGGGCGATGGACGCGGCGAGAGAGGCGGAACGCGCGGCGGCGAGGGTGGATCCGAGACGGGCGCTGAGACACGCGGGGGCGTCGAGGATGGGGGCGTTGATGCACGCGAAGACGCGGGAGTGGTACGGACGACGCGTGCGCGCGGTGTATCGAAGAATCGTGGTGAAACAGCCGTTCGCCACGGCGATGTTTTCGTCGGTGAGCAAATGCGTGGCCTCGGACGTGTTCGTGCAGATCGTGGTGGAAGAGCGGAGCGCGAATGATTTGGATTGGAATCGAGTGTTGTCGTTTTTCGTGCTCGGGGTGACGTACGTCGGCGCGTTTCAGTACCGCCTGTACAACTATTGGCTGAAACCACTGAACGACGCGTGGCGGCCGAAATACGGGTTAGCGCTGTCCACCGGGGTCGTCGTCATGGTCGATCAGGTGTTCGTGCAGCCGTTCTTGTACTTGCCAACTTTTTTGTGCATTAAGATTGTGTCCGAGGGGGCGACGCGACTCGTGGACGTCCCGCGCGAGGCGTTCGGACGATGGATTGAGACGGGACCAGATACCATGAGCGCGCTGTGGGCGGTGTGGGTTCCCGCGCAGGCGATCAATTTCGCGTTCGTCCCCAAGCATTTGACGATTCCGTGGATGAATCTCGTAGGGACGATGTGGAATGGCGTACTTTCCTACATGTACGGAGCCGCCGCCGAGAAGAACAAATTAAAATTAGTTGTGGAAGAGGTCGAGTCGAATGACGATGAATAAATGCTCGCGCTCGTCCCGACGCGGTCTCGATGTTTCTGTAGTTGCAGCTGCGTATGTGCGCGCTGATTTTTGTGATAGATTGCTTTTCTTAAAACAAACAAAAGTGTCAGTTGGCGATCTCAGTTGGCTTGTTGCTAGTACTTGCGCGTCGCAAAATAATTTTATTTGTGTCCTCCTTTACAGCGTCTTCATGTCCTTCTCCTCCGGGGTTCGGCCGTCGCCGGTGACGATAGTATCGGCGAAGGTACCACCACCCGGAACCATGGGCAAGACGTGCTCGACGTGCGGCACCATGACGTCCAGCAAATACGGGCCAGGGGTCTCAATCATGCGCTTGATGGCACCCTCGAGTTCGGACATGCGCGTGACGCGCTCAGCCGGGACGCGGAAACCGTTGGAAATGGTGACGAAATCCGGGAAGATGTGCGCTTCCTCTTTGGACACTTGGTAATCGTCGTTCGGGGAGCCAAGGTAGGTGTGTCCTCGGTTCGCTTTGTAGAAGCGATCCTCCCACTGCACGACCATGCCAAGGTACTGGTTGTTCAGGATGAAGCACTTCACTGGTAACTCCTCCGCGTGTAAAGTGGCGAGCTCCTGAATGTTCATCACGAACGAACCATCGCCGTCGATGTCGATGACGAGCTCGTCCGGTCGCGCCGCCTGAGCTCCGATGGCGGCGGGCAAGCCGAAACCCATCGAACCTAAACCACCCGATGAGAGCCAGTTGCGCGGCTCGTCAAACTTGTAGTGCTGCGCCGCCCACATCTGGTGCTGACCGACACCAGTGGAGATGATCGCCTTACCTTCGGTCAACTTGCACAAGAGCTCGATCGCGGCCTGCGGGGCGATAACGTCGCCTTGCTGTTTCGGAATCGGAAACGGGAACTCCTTGCGCTTGACCTCAATCTCGGCGCGCCAGTCCGAAAAGTCCGGCAAGTTCGCCGCGTCCAACGCGATGAGCTTGTTCAGCGATCTCAACGCCGGCTTAATGTTGCTAAAGATGGAGCAGAACGGTTTCTTGTTCTTGCCGAGCTCGGCCGGATCGATGTCGATGTGCACGATTGCCGCGCGTTTGGCAAACTCAGCCAACTTACCCGTCACTCGATCGTCGAATCTCACGCCGAACGCGAGCAACAGGTCGGCGCTGTCGATTGCGTAGTTCGCATACACGGCACCATGCATGCCGAGCATACTCAGGCTCAAATCATCGCTCTGCGGGAACGTGCCGAGACCCATGAGGGTGTTTGTCACTGGGATCCCCGTGGCGCGACAAAACTCAACTAACTCCTTGCTCGCGTCGAGGCATCCGCCGCCGGCGTACACGATCGGCTTCTTCGACTTCTTGATGAGATCAACCACTTGTTGAATCTGCGGGTTCGTCGGTGGGCCCGGAAGACGGCTCAGGTAACCGTGCAAAGAAACCTTGGGCTCCCAGTACGGCACCGCGAGCTGTTGCTGAACATCCTTCGGAATATCGATCAAAACCGGTCCCGGTCGTCCCGAGCTCGCCAAGAAGAACGCCTCGCGAACGATTCTCGGAATCTCCTCAACGTTCATCACCAAATAGTTGTGCTTGGTGATCTGTCTCGTGATCTCCACGATTGGCGTCTCCTGAAACGCGTCCGTACCGATCATCGGCCTCGGAACCTGCCCGGTGATCGCCACCATCGGCACCGAATCCAACAACGCGTCGGCTAACCCGGTGACCAAATTCGTCGCCCCCGGCCCGCTCGTCGCGATGCACACCCCAACCTTCCCGGTGGACTTTGCGTACCCCTCCGCCGCGAAAACCTCCCCTTGCTCGTGTCGACACAAGACGTTTCTAATCCCCGTCACGCTCTTCGTCAGGCTCTGATGGATCTCCATCGACGCCCCACCCGGATAGGCGAACACGCAATCGACGCCCTCACGCTCCAGGGCCTCGACTAAGATATCCGCGCCCTTGCGCGGCTCGTCGTCGGCGAAACGCGACTGAAAGTGCCCGATCGGCCGTCTGCTCGCGTACGCCGTCATTTGCGACGTCGTCAACTCGAGCTCGGTGAACTGCGAGGGGTCCACGTACTCGCTCGCCCCGGGTTCGCGCACCGCGGGCGACTTGAGCGAGAGCACGCGTCGGATTTGGCTGCGCGCGCGAATCGCGGCGCGACGCGAAACGCGCGCATTCTGGACGCTCAACGCCGTCGTGGGCGTCCGTTGCGCCCGCGCGTTGGCGTGCATGGAGATGTGATCAGCGATCGTCGGTCGCCGAGCGGACGGGCGCTCGAGTGGGCCCGCGCGCGCGGTGTGACGTCGCGCGCGTCGACGGCGCCAGGGCTTGGTGCGACGTGGGCTCCTCGAGTCCCTGGATTCTTGAGTCATGAGTCCTACTTAGGGTTTAGGCGGACAGGGTCACGTTGAGGCGTGCGGTTGCCTGGGCTCTGGATTTACCACTTTCGTCTGTCCGCCAACGCGTCAAGCCACGCGTCGTAGGTCGATCGCACGCTCGAACGGTATCGACGAATCGCGATCGAACGATTCGTCGCGTCTGTTTGAGACTCTTCGGTGCGCTCGGTGTCTCGAAGGGATGCGGATTTGGATCCGAGCGCGGCTCGGAGGACGTCGCCGATCCGCACTCGGGAGCGGTCATCAACGGCCGACGACGACGACGACGACGACGTGGCGTTGTCGAGCGCGAAGGCGTCGGCAACCCAAACCTTAAGTGTTTCCTTGGCTTCGACCTCTAAATCGCGGATTCCGCGCTTGGGTGGACGCGCCGGGAGTACGACGCGATTTGTCGGGAGGTTTCGCAGACGAAGTGCCTCGATTCGACGCGCGACGTCCTCCGAACGTTCGCTCGCCGGTTCGTTCGACCAGGGGGCGTAGAGAACTAAATGTTCGCCTTTACCGTCGCTTACCGTATCATCATCTTCCGGGACGAAGCCGTGGGTGAAAAACAATGCCTCGCTTGAGGACTCACCGTAATCGATGAAAATTTCGTCCCCGTGTCCAAGTTTTTTTCCATTACTCACCAACGCGATGACCCCACCGTCCGGGCGAGTGTTGTCATCAACGTGCTCCCATCGCGCGTTTGCTTTCGTGCGACTGTGATTCACCATATCTATCCCCGGAACGATGCCCTCGACGACTTCGCCCGTGTCGTTCACCGGAATGGCAAGCGCGCGCGTCCAAAAAGTTTGAAAAGCCCACTTAAACTCATCAATCGTTGCGTTATTGAGCGATGTCGCGAGCTTAGCGTCTCCACTCGCCGCTGCCACCTCGCTGAGTCCGCGCATCGCTGGTCTTACGTTTTCATCGAACATTTCTCTCACCTTCGCTCGCTGAGCCACGGCTGCGTCGTACACGTTCGTGCCCTTCAACTCTCGCTCGAGCTCGACATCGCTCAAGCTTAGCGGGGCGTCGTACGACCGCGGCAGCGCGTCGATATACCCTCCCCACGCACTCGCCTCGCCTTTCCTCCGTTCCACCATCAAGAAGACCATCGCGGCGACTCTCTCATCCGGCAGCGTCCCATCACGCATCAAATCCGCGTACTTCTCCCCCAATTTTGGATCCATCGTCGCGGTTCGCGCGCTCACCACTGCCGCGTCCGGTGATGTCATCAACACACGATTTTTCCTGAACCACCCTCTTTTTCCCTCCGAACCGTCCACGTAGAACACTCCGACGCCGGCGCCTTTGGTTCCTCGAACATCTGCCGCCGGGAACTCCGCGCTCAGCGCCTCGGCCCATCTTCTCAACCGTCGCGCGCGTCGATCGTCGTCGTCGCTCGCGCACGCATCCTTCGATGGATTACCCAAGTTATCGTCCGTTTTCAGCGTCGAGTACGCCGTGTACGCGCCGAGACCGACGCCCAGAGTGCCGATGAGCGGAACCATTAAATTCGCATTCGTCTTTGTTTTCGTCGATGCCGGCGCGCTGGTGGTCGCGATCGATCTGTGCACTGGCGTGTGAGGCCACGCCGTGCGCATTATTGCTCGCCGAGCGGCACGAGCGAGCATTGCTGGCGTCGATGACTGGAGAGTTCGGTTTGAGGTCAACCTCCGAAACGAAACTGAGTCGACGAAACGCTCGAGCGGCGGAGACGCAGAGGATGGAAAAAGCGTGATATCATCGTTGTACAATTAGTGTAATCGAATGGGCTACGTAATTTACAGAGTCTAGCTTTTTCAACGCGTCATCGGCGTCGGCTGACGTGGATTTGGTGACGGCGAAGCGCACGCGCGCCGATGCGGTCGCGGCGCTGACAGGAGTCCCGTGCTCTTTCGGACTCGCACGCATGGGCGCTCCTGAGCGACCGCGCGAGGGCGGTGTTCTCGTCCATAAGGTCTATGAGACGTGATTTGAGTTCCGCGATGGCGATACCCTCTTGTACGGCGTTGACGACGGCGATGGCGTTCGGGTCGCCAGCGAGATTTTTGGCATGCGAGAGCAACGCTGCGGTGAAATCAACCGACCCCGCAGAGACCTTGATGATGACGTTCCAGAGATCCACCGGGTTGTCGAGCTCGCCTGCGAGCTTGATCGCGCCTGACAAGTCCTTGGCGTCTACAAGAAGCGTTCGCACGGCTTCCTCGTGCGAGCCGAGCTTACCAAGCAAGAAGACGCGCTCGAAGACGAGCGTGTCGTTCCCGCATAGCGACGCACACGCTCGAGAGACGTCGTAACCCGCGCTCTTCTTCAAGAATTTCATCAGCGCGCTCGGGTCGAATTCCAAGTGTAAATCGAACAACGTGTCGTGATGCTCTTCGAAGCACGTGGGGTCCTCATCAAAGAGCGCCGTCATGTAAGCGTATGTCAGCTCTCGAGCGCTCAGACCGCCCTGACCCAAGAGCTCCGCGATCACTACCTTGGGGGGTAAGCTCTCTCGCTGCTGAACAAAGAGTGACATCGCCGCAGGCGTGTCGAGCTGCGCTAGCAGAGAGAGTTTGCTTCGATCGACGAATGATAATAAATTGTGCCGAGTGATGAAATTCAGCACTGTCGGTCTGCCAATGTCCAGGAACAGGCTCAACGCTCGCTCGCGCTGGCCATCGTTCAGGTACAGCTCAGCGAGCGCCTCCTTGAGGACGACAGAAGAAATGGAAGCGACCGGGCCCTGCGTTGTCTTCAGCGCTGCGAGCTTACCCTGCACGAGCGGTATGAACAAACGCGAAGAGTACACGCGCGCCGGCCACAATTTGACCGCGGCCAAGAAGCGGGAGTGATGCTCCGCCTCGGCCAAAAGCGCGTTGAGCACTGACTCGTACACGTTCGAACTCAGCGTCGGTTCCTCGGTGGGTATGTAAGACTGAAGCTCGGAGAGTTGGTGAGCAAGCATGAACTTTTCAATCCAAGACTCCCAAGCAGAGACGTCTTTTCGGAGCAATTTCGAGCACATGGACGCCGCTTGTCCGTATTCTCCCGCGTCAAAATTACGCTGTATTACGCTGTATCCGATGTCCTGTAAGCTCCCGTTGATGTGACCGAACTGAGATGCGAGCTCGCACGTATCCAGAAGCTTGACGTGATCCTCGCGCGCCGCGAGCCAATCAATTGTCTCGCGCGCCCCCGTCGCCGCGGCAACGATCACGTCGAGAGGAGAATACACCATGAACAAAGGTCCGAGGCCGGGTTTCCACCACCGCTGTTCGCCCACGCGCTTGCATCGATCGAAACTCCCGCCCTCAACCATCAGCTGTGCGCACGCCAAACCGTATGCGTTGCATCCGAGCTTCGTCGCGTCATCCCGGGTCGCGATAACGTCGATACTCAGCGGGATATTGTCGTACGACACCACGTGTAGCTCCGGCGCGGCACCGGTTTTGTGATCCCCCTGAGTAGACCAAGCTAATATCGCAAGCGCGTCACCAAACGGCTGAATGCCGGCGACATAATACTCTGTTTGAAACATCGACGTCACCCGTGCAACATACGATCTTGTCCCCGTCATTTCGCTCGTCGACGCCGTGTCCGCGTCGCTTGTCGCCCCACCGCCGACGAACGACTCCGGGCGAGTGATCGTCGATGAAGACGTCTCCTCCGAGCGTATCTTGACAACCTTGACGCAATCCGCCCAACCAATGAACAACGTCTTCCCGTTATCACTCTGCTCGTTCCATGTCAACCGCGGGGCGTAAGATCCCGCCAGCGGACTCCCTCGAGGTCGTTCCACGATCGCCACTCGAGCGTCCCGTCCGACATCGTACAATTTCACCCCAGAGTTGCACGCCCAGGCGAGCACGTTCCGAGAGCTCCACGCCATCGCGCGCGCGACGCCGTCGCTCCCATCCGGCTCGCTCACCGTCACCGTCTTGTGCCCCAACAGCGTGCTCACCCTTAAAAATACGCCGCCTCGCTCGTCGCCGAACGCGAATCCCCCTCGACCTCGTCCGCGCGTTCCGTAATCCCGCGCGAGCGCCGCGCACGTCACCGCCGCGTCCGAAATCGTCCTCGCGACCTCTCGATCGACCTCGCTCCGCCCCTCGAGCTCACCCGCTCCTGGTGGCGCATCGAACACGTCTTCAATATCGTACACGCACACCTCACCTCGCGCGTCGGCGATCAGGACGTGTCGTCCGCGCGCGTCGAGCGCCGCCGCGCTCGGTCTCACGCCGCGTCGCCGAATCTCCCGAATCTCTCTCGTCTGAGCGATGCGCGCGGTTTTCACTGAACCGGACGCGTACGCGATGACGAAAACATCGTTGGAGGCGACGCACAGGACGACGTCGTCGAGCGAGGCGCTGGTGGAGGGTGGATTCGAAGAATCTTCTGAATTCTCACCGCTCGCGAACGCGCAGAGTCGGCGGTACACGAACGGCGGCGGCGAAACGTCGTCGTCGGTACCAGCAGTTTGCATGTTCGGACTTCAGCTCTCGGATGGCATTTTTAGTGAAGTGGTCGTCGGGCGAGGCGCGACGGATTGTGCGGCGTCGGGCGATTGATTACTCGCGCGAGTCCGCGTTTGTGAACTATAGTCGTCGCCTTATCTATGACACATCCTCTATCTTTCTACGCTATGATTGATCATTTCTTCAAAGCGATCCGCCTCGCCTCGATCTCGCTCTTACCCTCGCACAGAGCGCTCAAGATGGCCGTCGCCCGGGCGTCCGCGCGCCAAATCGTGTGCTCGTGTTTCGTCGCCGCCAGCCGCTCCTTGATTTGCGCAAACGCGCGATCAGCGTTCGCCCCCATCGCCCCCATCATCGCTTGACGACCCGCCATTGGGTCCGTCTCCTCCTCGTTCGCCCCCAACGTCAAGCGAAACACTCCACCCAAGCCGAAGAGGTTTAAAAAGTACCACGAAAGGCTCGATACGTACGTCACGTCCAGTCCTCGCAGCGCGACGCCGCGCTGTAACATCCCACGAAAACTCGCCGTCAACGGAAACGGCACGCGTCCGACGACGAACCCGGTGAAGAAAAAATTCACCCACGCCCCGGTGACCATCTGCGGGACGATGTTGATCAAACTCTTCGACATCATCGCCGTCGCCTTCGTCGGGTCGCTCATCATCTCCATCGCCTTCTTCGACGTATCACTCCCTCGCGTCTCGCTCAATTTCCCTCGTTCATCGTCGCACAGGTAGTTCAATCGCGACAGAAACGACCGCGGGCGCAGATAGCCGCAGAAGGACGCCAAGCGATCGGCGCGCGTCGCGAGATTCCCATCCGTGATCTCATTCTTCACTTCATCTCTCGCTTTATCGCTCGTCTCGCTCGCGTTGAGCGCGCGCGAGACGTGGTGGCGGACGCACCCGACCGCGTACATGGCGATAAAGATCGGGAGCAGGACCCAATCGCGGACTTGCGCGTCCAGGCGCGCGTCGATCGGGATCATGATTTCGATGCGCGTCGATATGCGTCCGACCGGTGTTTTTTTTTCATCGTCGACCGGTGCGACGCCTTTGGATTTTTTCCTCCAAAGGCAACCGCACCGATCAATGGAGCATGATGCGCACCTTTGAAACGAACGATCACCGCGGGACGACCCGCACGTCATGACGCTGACGCTCGGTGGGACGACGACCCCCGACGCGGGGGGGCGCGAGTGCTTCATCGCGAGGCACTGCCCGCCCGAGGCCCCGGCGGGACGGCCGAGCGAGGAAGTGGTGCGTCAGCGCGACGGGAGCGAGGGAGAATTTGACTTTTGATTTTGGCATTCGATCGCTTCGGCGCGCGCTGTGTGACGACGCGCTCGCCGTTTGAACCTCGAAGACTGATGAAGATTTGCATGTATTCGTTTTCGTCGACGCAGCGCGCGAAGAGTTTCTGTGAACGCGCGAGTCGATCGCTGGAAGGTTTGCGCGAGGCGTGCGCGCGCGCGGAACAAAGCGCTCGAGACGCGGCGAAGAAGGAGACGAAGACGCAGAAGGGCGGGCGAGGACGAGGGAAGAAGCGCGCGCAAGATGGGGACGTTTTACGTTCGTGTGATGACGTGGATATGCGGGCGATGCGGGCGATGACGATTGAAAAGGCGGTGGACGCGGTGATGCCGACGGTGCCGCTGCCGGATGAGCAGGAGCGGTCGAAGGTGAGGATGCACAGAGGAACGGGGGCGAAGCAGTTGAAGCTGAGTGGACAGCAGGCGGATGAGCGGGCAGAGCGGGCGAAATTGGTGCTCAAGCACTTGCAGGATCAGATGGCGGCGCACCCACTCGCGTCTTTGCGTGAGGTTGAGTTGGAACACCAGTCGTTGGCCAAGCGAGAGTACAAGCGCGCGTTGTTGAGGAAAGAGGTGGACGTGACGCGGGTGATGTGGAAACCGCGATCTTTGCTCGATTGCGAACTCGACGCGAGCGACCCGAAAGCGCGCGCGAGGGCGGATGCGGGCGAGAAGATTGGTCGAACGGCGGAGGAAATCATGGCGGCGCCAACGGGCGACGACGCGATGATTTGGATCGAGGTGTTTCACCCCGTGAAGCAAGGATACCTCGTCATGGACGTCTACGTGCTCGGAGCAACGCCGTTAGTAGCATTCAAGGATATCATTTACTGCCTCAGGGACACGCAGGCCGAGCGCGAGGGCCATCCTACGACGAAGAACGGTTTCTTGTTCATCGAGGGCGTCTTCTACAACGACATGCGCACGCCAAACGCCGTAGATTACTCCGCACCATTGTTAGAGTTCCAGCGGAAAGATAAGCTCATGGCACCCGGAGCGCCGACAAAGATGAACCTCGAGGGCAAAGGGTTCACTGCTCGAGATATGGACGGAGTGAAGTTTAAGGATGTACCCTTGGTGATCGGACGCCCGTACGTCATGACGCATCAGGGCAAGTGCGAGCACAAATGGCGCGTTCGAGACATTCGAATCCCCCACTCTGCGGACGAAAAGGAGCGAAACATGTTCCCGCTAGTCATCCGTGAGGGTCGTATATATCGTCGCGGTTGCTCCGTGTGCGGGGTGTTCGACGCCGCGCACGTGACGTACGGCGACAAAATGGCCGCGGAGAGCCCGAGTTTCTTCTGTAAGATGTGCTTCGACGCGGTGCACTGCGATGCGCAGGGAAATAGAACGTACGACGATTACGAGGAGTACCCGTATGATCACGAGTGAGGAGACGACGAAACGTCGAAGACGCATTGTAAAAGACACGAGCTTACAACATGTTCATCGACGTTTTCAAAGTCCCGTCGCGTCGCTCGACGCGTCGACGCGCGATCACTTCGGATCGGTCCAGTGCCCCAAATTATCGATGCGGTTCGGAGAAAGCCTCGGGACAAACGACTTCTCCCCTGATTCCGCCTGAACCACGGTCAAACCGAGTCGTTCGACGACCCCGCAGTTCCCAAAGGACAGTCCCGGACACTTTTTACTCGCCGCCGCCAACTGCGTCGGCGACGCGCAGCACAGCTTCAACTCATCGACCGGAATCCCAGTCGCGTGCGACACCCGCCGCTTCACGTCCGACTTTCGATCATCGTGTTCGATGTTCACGCTCACCAGGCTCCCGCGCGGTCCCCACGGACCCGCGTGCATCATCTGCGTCGTCATCGGAAGGCGAATCGTCATTCTCTCCACCACCACCGCGCGAACGCCATCGACGTCGATCGCCCGCCATCGCCCGCCGCGATCGCCATCGAACGTCCCCGGCCGTCGCGACGCGTCGCACCTTGACATCCGCCACCGGCATCGTCCCTCGCGCGTCGCCCAGTCGCGCGCGCGCCGAGACGCGCCTCGAACGCGTCGACGCGACGAAACCGCCGAAAACGCTCGTGCGGGCACATCGACGAGTCACGACTCATCACACGAGGGACTCCACGGCGCCAAAGCCCGACGCGCGCGACGCGCGCGCGCTCGGGACGACGACGACGCGCGCCGTTCTCCTCGCCCGCGCGCGCGCGCGCGTGGTCGACGGCGCGCGACGACGATCGGCATCGCGCGCGCGAGAGCGAGCGATGGCGCGCGCGAGCGCGGGCGCGAGCGAGGTGGTGCTCGCGCGACGTCCCGAGTGGTGCGTCCTCCGAGGGGTCGACGGGCGTGAACTCCGCGCGAGACACACGTTCCCGACGGGACAGACGTTCCGATGGCGCGCGCGCGTGGACGGAGATTACGTCGGCGTCGTGGGCGCGCGCGTGGTGCGCGTGCGCGAGGGGCGGGGCGAATGCGCGGACGCGGCGTACAAGGTGTACTGTCGACCGGCGGGCGAGACGGTGGAGGACGACGAGCGGGTCGTGCGGGAGTACTTTAACGCGGATGTTCGGTTGGTGACGCTGTACGACGCGTTCGCGTCGAGAGATGGGCGGTTTAGGGATTTGGCGACGCACGTGGACGGCGCGCGGATGTTACGGCAGAATCCGAGCGAGTGCTTGTTTAGTTTCATATGTAGCAGTAACAATCACATCTCGAGGATACACGGGATGGTGGAGAAGATGTGTGAGAGGTACGGTGAGGCGTTGCCGGTGACGGAGGCGGTGGTGGCGCTGGACGATGACATGGAGCGCGCGTCGCCGGCGGCGGAGGCGAGCGGGAAGGAGGCGGCGGCGGCGGCGAAACGCGACGTCTTTTTCTCGTTTCCGAGCGCGAGTCGAATAGCGAGCGAGGCCACGGAGGAGGAATTACGAGCGATGGGATTTGGATATCGCGCCAAATTCATCGTCGGCACCGCCAAGGCGCTGATGGATCGAGCGAAGGCGCTCGGCGGCGATGCGACGCCCGAGTCGTACCTGCGAACGCTGCGAGACGAAACAAGTTACGTCGACGCCCACGTCGCGCTCCAAGAGCTCCCGGGGATCGGCCCCAAGGTATCGTCGTGCGTGTGCCTCTTCTCTCTGGACAAGCACGCCGCGATTCCCGTCGACACGCACGTGTGGCGACTCGCGTGCGAGCACTACGCCCCCGAGCTGAGTGAGGCCAAAACTGTGACTCCCAAAATCATGCGTGCCATCGAGCAGCGCTTCGAAGAAGTCTTCGGCGAATACTCCGGATGGGCCCACAACATCTTATTCATCGCCGAGCTCAAGACAGTGCGCGACCGCCTTCCAGAAAACCTCCGAACTCCCCAGAAGCCCAAGAAGCCCAAGACGCCGAAGCGATCCGCCGACGCGAGCCCCGAGCGCGTCAAGGTCGAGATCAAGTCCGAGCCCTTTTGCGACACTTTCGATTCACCCTAGGTTATCATATCAACGATCGTCACCGCACCAAACGTCTTTTCCCACCGTCGATCCGCCGTCACGTCGTCGTCATCGCTCCGCGCGTCGCGCGCTCCCATCACGCCAGCTCTTCGAGGTCTCGTGACGTCAGAGGGTCGCTCGAACTCGACATGCCCCCGAGCGCACTCGCGAGCGTCTCCGCGTCGGCGCATCGAAGCGTGCGAGAGAGACGCACGAATGGCGCAGAAAAGAGACGCCAACGGCCGACGCGTCGCACCGCGGCGTCGCGTCGAGTGATTTCCAAAATTGTGAAAATGACAAGAAACGAAATGCATTCAACGCTCGAGCGACGATGCTCGACGATCGGGGCGATTGCGGACGACGCGGTGATGCAAACACCCGCGTTTGATGACTCCGCGGCGTCCTCGACGGGCGCGTTCACGGAAAACGACGCATTGGAGAGGATAGTGCTAGACTTTTCAGCGCGCGACTTTTCTGAAAAGATGGAAGCGGTAGGGGAATACTTCTCTCGATCGCCGACAGAGCTCGCGGGGCGGACGGCGGAGGTTTTGGGAGTCATCGGTAAGGTGTACGCGCTGTGGCAGTTCGAGGAGCGCATGGGGACGCCGTTGGAACAGAGGAAGCGAGGGAAGGCACTTCGGGACGGCATCGCGCGACTGGGACCAGTGTTCATCAAGATGGCTCAGACGCTGAGTACGCGGCCGGACATCATCGGCGAGGAAGCGGCAGATAATTTGATGGTATTGCAGGACAAGGTTGGGCCGTTCTCGAGCGAAGAGGCGGATGAGATAATCAAGCGAGAGTTAGGGTGGAGCGGCGCCGTGCGAGAGAAGGACGCAAGCAAGCCTGGACCGGCGTACAGTTTGTACAAGGAGCTAAGCGACGAACCCGTCGCCGCGGCAAGCATCGGGCAGGTGTACAAGGGGGTCATGCACGACGGCACGCAGGTGGCGGTGAAGGTGCAGAGGCCCGGGGTGTTGCGACGCATTGCTTTGGATTTGCACATCATTCGACTCGGATTTGGGTGGATCGAGGAGTCTGGATTGAACGGTTCGGAGGATTTGGACAAAATTGTCGACGAAGTCGGCGCCGGCGTGTTCCAAGAGCTTGATTACACCATCGAAGCTCGTAACGCGGATGATTTCAGGCGTTCGTTGCGATTTTTGAACTACGTCTTCGTCCCACGCCATTTCTCAGACATGACGACCAAAAAGATCCTTACGCAGCAATGGATAAGCGGAAGACCGATGAAGGACCTGAGCTTGGAAGAGCAGAAACTCATGGTACAGATGGGGGTGGAGTGCTCGTCCGCACAGATGTTCAGAACTGGACTCGTGCATGCAGATCCACACGAGGGAAACATGATGTTCACCGACGACGGGAAGCTCGCGCTGTTGGATTTCGGCCTCATCTGCCGCGTCGACGACGATCAGCAGGAGGCGATGGCTAATTGTATACTAAACATCTTGAACAGCCAGTGGGGTGAGTTGATCGACAACTTGCGGATCATGGAAATGCTTCCCGAGGAACCTCAGATGTGGATCGACGCGGATGGCAATCCGGCAGATTACACGCAGGGGGGGGCAGGAACGTGGAAAGTCATCTCCGACGACGATTTCCGTCGCGCGTTTAAGTTGTGCATGGATGGTGAGGATGGCAATGCGAAGGTTAGATCGAACTTCACGGAGCTCGTGATCGACCTCACAAAGATTTCGACAGCGTACCGCTTCAACTTGCCGCCGTACATGGTCTTCGTCATCCGGTCGCTCACGACACTCGATTTCGCCGCCGCGCGGACAAACTGCAACATGTACGAAGTTGCCGCGCCGACCGCCATCTTCCGTGCCCTCTCTCCGCGAACGGACCGCGGGAGGAAGGCCTTGGAGCAAATGCTGCTCGATAAGGATGGCGACGTCAACTGGAACAAACTCCTGGCGCTGAGCGCGCAGGCGAACACGGCGAGCGAACAGGGCGGGGAGAATTCGACTGTGTCCGATGCCGATGTTGCGCACGCAAAGGAGGCGATCGACCGCCTTATGAATGACCTCATGGACTCCTCGGCTGGGAGCACGCTGCGTCGCCTGGCAAAAAAGGCTCGCCCAGAAGGGCTCATGCCTCCGCCCAGCATTCGCGACGAGATGGTGAAGATGCAGCGCGCGGCGTTCGAGCGTCATATGTCGACATTTTCGTTCCGTGCCTTCTTCGCCGCGTCTTTCGCCTTTGCGCGAAATGTTCTTCGCGGCGACAAGGGCCAGGAGAACGAGCAATGTGAAGTCTTCTCTGACGACTCCGAACGCATGGCCTGCAACGAGCGCGTGAACCGACGACGACGGCGCATCGGTGTTTTGCTCTTGAGATCTAAGCTGGCCACACCGCAGGGGTTCTTCGGTTTTTGTTCCATCCTCTGCCTCCTCGCCTGGGCCTCCGTCACTGGCGCCTTACTCGGTTTGCGAGCCAAGCTCTTGCGCACGGTCACCTTCATCAAACCCCGCGCCTCGAGTGTCCCCCCGCCCGCGATCGCGTGATCACCCCACGATATCACCATTGTTCTTGTTTTAATAATTTCATTGATTTGGCGGCTTGATCCGTGATGAATCGCTCTATTGTCCACACGCACCCGTCCCGTTCGTCGGGTCATCCCAAGGTCTTCAGGGCAACTCTCTGAAATCATCACAACGTTACCCTCTGGCGCTTCGTATTATCCCGATGACGCTCGTCGACGCTCTGATGGACCCATCTCGCCCCGTGTTCCTGTTCGGTGCGTGCGATCGAGCGATTGAACGCGAGCGCGACGCGCTTTCGGCGACGATCGTGAAATTAGTCGATCACCAGCGATGCGCTTTTTGACGCTTTGTGCGGTGTTATCGGACGATTATCGGCGCTGCACGGTGCAAACGACGGGTTTCTGACGATTTGATGTCTTGCGCGATCGCAGGAACGACGCCGCCGCTCGACGGATCGAGTGCGGACGCGGAAAGGGAGGCGGCAGAGAACTTTGCGAATAAAGCGCGCGGCTTGGCGGCGGACGGGTACATCGTGTACGACATTCAGGAGGAAAAGGGTCGAACGGAGGACGCGAGACCGTTTCCGTTTCGAAAGCTTGCTGACCCGGGTTCGTTCGCGAAGGCGCTGAAGAGGGCGACGAACGGCGGAGAGAGCGTGGTGTACAAGTGCGTGGCAGAGACGAAGAGCGAGGAGGCATTCAAGGAGTGGTTGGCGGACGCCACGCGCGCGACAACGGCTTATAACCTTGTAGGCGGTGCGAGTTCGAGTCAGGAGTACGCCGGGCCGACGATCGCACGCGCGGCGGAGATGTTGAAGGAGGCGAACAAGAAGTGCGCCTTTGGCGGCGTCACCATCGCAGAAAGACACGCAAAGAAGGGTAACGAACACGAGACGCTCTGCGCGAAGGCGGCGGCGGGCGCGGAGTGGTTCATATCGCAGGCCATCTACGATGCGGACATGACGATCAAGCTCGTGAACGATTACGGGGCCGAGTGCAAGAAGAGGAACATCAAGCCGAAGAAAATTGTCCTCACCTTTGCCCCATGCGGTCGCGAGAAGACAATGAAATTCATCAAGTGGCTCGGGTGCTCCGTTCCGGAGGCGGTCGAGCAAGAGATTTTGACCGCGCAAAACCCGGCGCAGAAGTCTGTCGAGGTTTTGGTCGCCATGTGCGCTCGAATCATCGAAGAGACAAAGGACTCTGGCGTCCCGCTCGGGGTCTCCGTGGAATCTGTGAGCATCTTCAAAAACGAAAAAGAAGCCGCTCACGACCTCTTCCGCCTCACCCAAGCCGTGATGCTCGACGCCTACGGCCTCGATTGGTCCATGCGCTACACCATTGGCGGTAAACCAACGACGAAGACGGAGAAACCGTCGATAACAGAGCGGCAACTGGGCGATGAAAATGTAGCCAAGCGCGTCGCCGTCGCCACCGCCGCCTTCCTCGCCGGCGTCGCCGTGCGCGGCGTCACTTCGCGTCGCTAACGATCGCACGCGCTTCATTCATTCACGACTAGTTCGTATTTAATTCAACCCGAACCACCATCTCGTCACCACGCGCCGCTTCGCGCGCGTTCCCGTCCCAAACCTCACTCCTCCACGCGCATATGGAGCTCTTCCGACTCGCCGTCCCCCCCGGTCCCGGCCGCGCCTTCACCCCAACGAGAGGTTCCCTCGTCGTCATCACGCACGTCGCGTTGGAGGTCAAAGGGAGCACCAAACCGAGCGCAAACCCCGAAAGAGTGACGGTTTTAGTCAAGAGCGCCGCCGGTGAAGAAATCGCTCTCGGCTCGCTGTACGACGGCGCCGGACGCGAACAGTTCTCGCTCGGTGGATCAGGGTTATGTTTCGGGGATGATACCCGAGTCGTCGTACGTCACGGAAGTGCGACGGCGACGGTGTGCTTGACGGGGCGGGTGGAGGCGGCGGACGGCGGCGGCGACGGCTTCAGCGAGAGCGAGAGCGAGAGCGACGAAGACGCGAACGATGATGAAGAGATGGATGAAGGAAGCGAAGAGAGCGAAGGAGGTGAGAGTGAGAGCGAAGAGGCGGAGGGCATGATGGAGAGCGAGAGCGAGAGCGATGGGACGGAGGAGGTGATGAAGAAGGCGGCGCGTTTGGCCAAGGCGGCGAGACGGGCGGCGGCTGGCGAGGCGGCGGCGAGCGAGGAATCGAGCGATGATGACGATGAAGACGAGGACGACGGGAGCGATGACGAAGAATCAGCCTCGGAATCGGCATCGGACGACGAATCCAACTCGGACTCGTCGGATTCGGAATCCGAGTCGGAATCCGAGTCGGAATCCGAGTCGGACGCCCTCCCGGGGTCTAAGCGCTCCGCCAAGGACGACCGCGCGCGCTCTTTCGAAGACGCTCGCGATCGTAAAAAAGCCGGCAGAGGCGGGGGCAGAGGCGGTGGGCGCGGGCGCGGGAACCAAAATAAACGATTCAATCGATGAGCGCTCGATCGAACGCGACGATAATCTGAACCCAAACGTCGTAAACAAACTCCAAAGGAGAAGATATTTTCATCAATTCAGCATCGCAACACTCCACGCCTCTCGACGTCCGACGCAAATAATACCGAATACCCGTCGCCGATGGACCTCAACTCGAGCGTCGAGCGACACTCGCCCAACCCACCGTCACGCATCGCTGTGGTCGTGCTCGGCGACTTTGGGCATTCGCCGCGCATGCAGTACCACGCACTCTCGCTCGCGAACGCTGGTCACGCCGTCGACGTCGTCTCCTACGCCGAGAGCTCGCTACCGATGTGGGAGATTTCGGAACATGGGTTGATCGCGCTTCGAGCGGTCACGAGAGGACATTTTGCGTTCGCGGCGAAATGGCCGGCGGCGTGTCGGTTGCTCGTGCGAGCGATCGCGCAATTCATTCACCTGACGTTCATCTTGTGCACGATCCAGCGACCGAAGCGGATGGTCGTGCAAAACCCACCGTGTGTGCCGACATTTCTGGCGTGCGGGGTGGTGTGTTGGATGCGTGGGATTGAGTTAGTAATCGATTGGCATAACTTGGCGTTCACACTCTTTGGGATGAAATATGGATCGGAGACGAGAGTGGCAAAGATGTGCGAGCGACATGAGCGAAAGCAGGGTAAGAGGTGGGCGTCGAAGCACATGTGCGTGACAGACGCCATGAGAGAGTTCCTGGAGACGGAGTGGGGGATGACGAATGTGAGCGTGGTGAGAGATCGCGCGGCGGAGCAGTTTCGGATCGCGGCGCGCACGCGGGCAGACGCGAACAATCCGATGTGGTTTTGGAAGCAAACTAGAGTCCAGGAGGAGCTGGAGAAGTCACGCGTTGCACGCTCTGGGGATGTACTCGATCGCTACGTACGAGGTCATCACGAGAACTTGCACAGGAACAAGCCGCGAATCGTGGTAAGCTCGACTTCATGGACGCCAGATGAAAACTTTGGCATTTTGCTCGACGCCGCGATCGCATACGACGCTCGCAAGCGTACGAGCGGTGGGGTGTCATCGTATGAGAGTCCTGATTTAGTCATCATCATCACTGGCAAGGGGCCGGAGCGGGAGATGTACGAGCAAAAGATCAACACTCTCGCACTCAAACACGTGGCATTTCGCACCGTTTGGCTCGACATCGCTGATTACCCGCTCGCGCTCGCGAGTGCGCACCTCGGCGTGTGCCTCCACACTTCGAGTAGTGGATTAGATCTACCTATGAAGGTTTTGGACATGTTCGGCGCCTCACTTCCCGTCGCCGCGGTTCGATATGAAGTAGTCAAAGAACTCATTGAGGATGGCGTGAACGGCGTGCTTTTTAGCGACGCCGAGGAGCTCTGCAAACTACTTCAGAAACTTTTGTCGCGCAAGAACAAGTACATCTTGACCGCTCTGAGAGCGGGCGCGGAGAAAGCAGGTGAGTTGACGTGGAACGATCATTGGAACGAGCACGCGAAGCCGCTCTTTAGCGATTGAGATGCAAGCGTTTTAATGATATACATGATTGCTAGCTAGCTTCCGGTACCGGTAGTCGAACCGCTTCGCGCCTTGGAAAAGGGGGCAACGACAAGCGCGCGCAGAGGAAGCGCACAGAGCGCAAAAGCGCCGCACCGTGCCCACTCCCCGAGATCCATCGGCGTAGTGTGAAACACCGCGCCACCACGCTGTACGATGAGTACGTGCATGAGTAATTCGCTAGCGACGAGAAAGAGAAAGAGCTTGTTCTTCAGAATTCCTTCGAACACGTTCAGCTCCGTAGTCACCTTCCGGCAGTTGAACTGATTTGCGAGCTGCATGAGGACAAAACAACCGTAAATTTGCGTGTCGTCCGGACCGAATTCATCCAGAAGATAGGTCATCACTGTGAGTTGATAGATCACTTGCGTAAAGATCGCCACGCGCATGGTGGAGGTTATCAACTCGCCTGCGTTCGCGGGTGGTTGCCGCATCACTTCGTTACTCGGCTCTTCGGTAGCGAGAGCGAGACTGGCCAGAGAGTCTATGACCAAATTCACGAACAAGAGCTCGATTGCACTGAGTGGAGCCTGTGCATACACCAAAGCGCCGCCGGTACTGAGCAGGATGGTCGTAACATTAGCCGTCAGTTGGAACGTGATGAACTTTTCTATCGATTCAAACACGTTTCGACCGTAGCGAATGGCATCAACGACACTTGCGATGGAATCTTGAAGCAACACAATGTCCGCCGCGGACCGCGCCATCTCTGTTCCAGAGCCGAGCGCAAAACCCACCGAGCTCCGACGGAGCGCCGGAGCATCATTTTCGCCGTCGCCGCACACCCCGCATATTTGACGCGATAGCCTCGACTGTTGAATGCCAGCAGTGAGCACAAACTTATCGTTCGGCGATGCGCGTGCAAGAACACGCAAACGAGGCCAGATCTCATCGATCTTTCGTTGATCGACTTTGCCGTCGCTCGTACGAATTCTCTCTCGAAACTCCTCACCTGTCATTGTCAACGCCGAGCCGGACTCGTCCCCAGCGTCGTCCAATATCCCACATAGCTTCGCAAGGGCAGTCGCGGTGGAGAGCGAGTCCCCGGTGACCATCGTAACACTCACACCCGCTTTTTTACACAGCCGAACGCTCTCCGCCGACTCTTCTCTCAGAGGATCGCTCAGCCCGACGGCAGCGACGAGGGTGAGATCCGACTCGGCATCCGTGGCTGACATGCAACGAGCTATTTCCGTCGCGTCCTCGATCGTGATGAGGTCTCGCTCAATATCGCGATACGCCACGAGCAGGACGCGCTCGGCGTGCTCTTGCCATTCAAGAAATTTCCTTGACAGATACTCCCTCGTCACGAGATCGAGCGGTCTTGATGTGCCATCCTCAATCATGATGGTGGCACACAGATTTAGAACGTCCTGCGCCGCACCCTTTGTAACGGCACGGACGATGACGTCGCCCATCTCGTCGTCCACGGCGTCTCTAAGCGTAAAGAGTGAGCACATTCGTTTCCGCTCCGCGCTGAAAGGAAAAATCTTGACGAGCGGGAAATACTCGCGAATCGTCGCCACGAACGTTTTGTCGCCGTTCATCAAGTTGACGAAATCGAGCAGAGCGATTTCAGACTTTGGCCCTCGAAGAACTTTACCCTCAGAATCGTAAATCAGCGTGGAATTCATCGCGAGCAAGATCGATAAGAGTTTAACGACGCGCGGATCGAGCCTCGGCGTGTCTTGAGTCACCTTGCCGATCTCCGAGTTCCACGATGAGCCAGTCTTCGTGAGCGGTCCAATGTCAACGCCCGCGATCCACGCCCTGGCGACCGTCTGTTCGTTTCGCGTCAGCGTCCCCGTTTTATCGAGAAGAAGCGTCGTAATCTCGCCAGAGGTCTCCGCCGAGCCGAGCACCCTGACGAGCATCTCGACTTTCATCATGCGAGACACAGAGTAAGCCAAAGCGAGCGTCACCGCGAGCGGAAGACCCTACAATTGAAAAGTGCGTTGCGTCAGTCTCGTGCGTCGAACGTCGTGCGTCGTCTTGATCAAAAAAAATGGTCTCAGTGGGAAGTCGGCAGACAGAACAAATCGTCACAGAATTCAGCCAATGGTTCAATCATCACAGACCAGCAGAAAAAAACTGAACACGAGACATGAGACATGATAAATACGCACCTCTGGCACAGAGACCACCACGATGGTGATCGCGATGATGACGATGTGCAGTAACTCCAATTCGATCTCGGGTGGAATCCCGTCCGACATCCCGCTCGCGATGAGCGGCGCGATGAGCGATGAAGCCAAGATTACGCTAACGAACGTCGCGGCGGCAATCCCATATCGTCCTATCGTGATCGCGAGCGCCTGAAGTTGGAGCTGTAACGGCGTGAACTCCTGCGAATCAACGTCGCTGATCATCGCAGCGATTTTTCCACTAGAAGATTGCGTTCCCACGGCAATAATCATCGTTGAAGCGCGTCCTGATGTGACTTTGGAACCGCCGAATAGGACATCGCCGCGTCGCTTCTCCACCTCGTCGCTTTCGCCCGTGAGGTGACTCTGATCGCAGAGAAACGGAGCCGCGGCCTCGACGACGACACCGTCGCATGGCAATACGTCGCCCGACTGCAACTCGACGATGTCGCCACACACGATTTCACCCTTCGGCACAAGCGATCGAACGCCAGCGCGAGTGACGCTCGCCAACGTAGTCTCCTGCATGAGCGCGTTCAGGCTTAAGAACGACCGCTGTTTTTCGCTATTATTCACGCACTCGACGACGACGATGATGCTCACGGCGAGTAAAATCGCGGCTCCGTTGAGCCATGCATACGGTTCGTCCGCGACGACCGATTCCAACGCGAGACTCACAAATCCGGACGCAATGAGCACCCGAAGAGTGACGTCCTTGAGCGCCTCGCGCGCGAAGTCAACGAAAGAACTCACTTTTGCAGGTTCCACCGCGTTTGCCCCGTAACGTTTTCGATTATTCTCGATGATTTCTTCGCCCGCGACGCCAAACTCAACGTTTGAGCAAAGAGCGCTCGCGAGCTCCTCTAAAGCCTCGTCAATTTGCTCAGCGTCGCCCTCAATCCGTCCATGCGAAACTATGTGACGTAAACTGGGTTCAAGGCTCAAATTATTCAGATCGAGACCGAGTGCATCTTCGGCGTATCGATAGCTTTCACTTGCCTTGGCGTCCTTGTCGAAGGGACGTTTCGCCCGGCCTCTCACGCGCACTCCTCTGTTCGGTCGTCGTACGCGTCCGGTGCGCCGTTCGAAGCGCGATGCCGACATCGGACACTTTTTCGTGAACGACGTCATCGCGTGTCCTCTTGAGCGTCGCCAAGCGTCGGTGTGAAGACTCTGCTCAAGTCGCGTCGGTTTGCTCACGCCGACGAGACTTCCAGCGCCTCGGCGAACGCGGTGACGATGTCCTCGAACGCGCCCGTTTTGCTCGGATTGACGCGTAAAACCTTACGAGCCTCTTTTAACGCGTTTTTATCACCATCGGCACGGAACCGTTCTCGCAGGAAGGCGCCGAGGATGAGCTGCGCGCACGCACGGGCGTTCGGCGACACGGATTCATCCTTGCGCATGTCTCTCACGACGGTTTCAGCAGTACGATCACCAGCGAGGAATCGCTCAACGGCGTCGTTCAAGATCTTTACCCGGTGCGTTTCTCGAGCGTTTGTTTCTTCCGTCGACGCACCAGCGCAGAGTTTGATGAGATCGATGGAATCCGGATGTCCTGGATCGAGCATCGTAGCTCTGCATGCTCGGCGAATCGCTAGAGCGCGCGCTTCATCGGCGCCAACCATGGGCGTGGCGTTGAGTGCACATGCGGCCGCGGCGCGCTCGATGCTTGACTGCACTCTATGATCACCTCGAGGCTGGGCCTCTGGACACGCTCGAGCGGCCGCGGCGACGAGGGCGTGATTGCTTGAAGCCGACGCGAGGAGAACGAAATCTCTTCTGCATTCGGAGCATTCCGGTTGAGCGCGTGTCGCGATTAACGCTCGACGAATAGCCTCTTCGAGCGACTGCGACGGGGCGTCGGTGTCGACATTCTCGATGTCATCTCGATCGCGCACGCGCTGGAGACATCGTTCGGCGACCCGTCGAACGACACTTGCGTCTTCAATGAGCGCCATGGACGCTGAGGCGCGCGATCCAAGATCCAACGCTTGCTCGCATGCCTCGACGGCGCCCGAACGTAGACCGCGAGCTTCCGAGCATAATGCCAACGCTAGAGCCGCGCTCGCATCCGCCGGTGCGGCCTCACTCGCGCGACGCGCGGCTGCGTATGCGTCACGAGCGTGCGACGGACTTGACGCACACGACGCGAGCGCATATCCTAAATCCGCCTCGAATCCAGCGCCGAGCTGCGACGCCATTCGGAACGCCCCTCTACCTTCGTCGATATTATTTCTCGCGCAGTGCACCGCGGCGGTGACGGTCCAAGCTTCGCCCGAACTGGGATCGGCGATGCGTGCGCGATCGAGCGCCGTCGCCGCCGCAGAGACATCGCCTAAGGACAGTCGCAGTCTTCCCAGCGCGCACCAAGCTTCGGCGAACGTCGGGTCGAGCGCCGTCGCGCGATCTAGTGCGGTGACTTTCCGCTCCAATCGCACGGCCTCGTCTGAAACAGACGGATCGTCTAAGTTTGCCAGTGCAAGCCACGCGCGAGGATCTCCCGAATCAAGTCGAACGTATCCCATCGCCCGCTCCAGAGCTTTTGTTCTGAGCACGTTCGAGCACTGCGCATCGCCCAACGCAGCGCAAATGTCCGATTCAAGAACCAAAGAAGCGACGACGTCTCGCCATCGCGCGGGACGATCGTGATGGAGTTCTAACGCGCGCTCATGCGCCCGAGTCGCTGCGCGAGCCGCTTCGGCGCGCTCAGTGAGCATGGAATCGTAATCTCTCCCGTGTGCGGGATCGTTGACGAGTGCGGCGAGATAATGGACATCTCCGACGAGTTTCCAAACCGTTGCGGTCGCTTCGTCGCCCATGAGCTCGATTACGCGTGAAGCGGCGCTCTTCGCTGCTCGAAGAGACGACGCCGCTTGACCGGGCGCGCCCCAGCGCAAGGCGCCCTTGGCGAAATATGCGTGCGCGCTCGCCGATCCGAACAACGCGGCAACTCGATCGACTCCATCACTGAGCGCTTTTTCGTAACACTGGATGGCGTCGACGGACGAACCGAGAGTGAGGTGAATGTGCCCCGATTGAGCCGCCGCGTACAAATGTGCGTCGCCGAGCTCCATCGCTCGCGCGAAAGCCTTGAGCGATGCGGAATGTCGACCGAGGGCGTTGTACGCAGCACCGAGCGCCTCCCACGCGTTACCATTTTGCGACGAGACGCGGAGGACGACTTGCAGTGCGTCGACCGCGCCCTGGTGATCGCCGAGCCGGGCACACAGCGGAGCGAGCCTGTTTGCCGCCCAAGAGCATCGAGAATCAACTTTTAGAGCCGCGCGACACACCGCCACGGCCATTCTCTCATCTCCCGCGCCGAGAGCGTCAGCGAACGCCACTGGACCAGACGTCGGATCCGAGGGATCGATCGCGAGCGCTCGGGCGTGACACTTCCGCGCGCGCGCTGAGTCTCCGGCGGCGGCGCAAGACAATCCCAAATGTGCAAACGCCGCCGCACGATACGGAGATTCACCCGCGGCGCCGATCAGAAGCGCCTCGTGCGCGCTCCCTGGACCTTTCGATGTGCATAAGCTCGAGCGCCATCGAGCGACGCCGAGTCGCGCGCTCGCATCGGCCGGCGTCGTCGGACTGAGTGGTACGTCTGCAGTCGCGCCACACGCACGTTCCAAAATGTCGAGCGCTCTATCACGCGAATCTGTCGACCCGGCGAGCATGGCGAGCCATCCGAGCTCGACTTGCACGCGACGAACATTCGGGTACGCCTCCGCGGCGTCGCTTAACAGGCGCAAAGCTTCGTCGTACTCTGGAGGGTGCGCGTTGTATGCGCACATAGCTAATCCGCGCATAGCACGCGGTCCCTCCAAAGCGATGAACGCCGCTCGCGCGGGCTTGAACATCCCAGATCGTAGCATCGCCTCCGCATGCACCATTAACACTCGACGCGATGTCTTCGGTAGCGCGTCCGTAGTCACGTCGACTCTCAAAATCTTCATCGCCGTTGCGGCGCAGTGAAGCGCATGGACCTCTTCGTGTTCGCCGCCGATGAGCATGGATTCGGAAAGCGCAAGCCACCCGAGGGCGGCGGACGCGTGACTCGGTTTCGATTCGTCGTCTCCGTTGAGAGTGACGATCATGTCATCTCGTAAATCGGTTGACAACAATCCTTTCTCGCCTCGAGGAGGCTGACCAGGTCGACACGAGTGCGCGAACGCGCCACTTCGGCGCACGGAGCGCAAGGCGAGCCAACCTCGCGCCAACGCGTTCGGGCGCGATTTCTCGACGCGTGCGAGCAGTTCGATCAGAACCGCTTCATCGTTTGCATCGTTGCCGTCGTCGTCGTCCCATCCCTCTTCCTCGCAATCCAACCCGAGCTCAAGCGCGGCGACGACATCCAGCACGGAGTCACTAACGATGTCAAATGCAACGTCGCCCCATCGATCTACGAGGGATGAAGCCTCCTTTAAGAGCTCACGCGCGCTCTTCTTTGGGTCGAACTCGCAGTTGACCTGTGCCGAGAGCGAAGCGGCGAGGCGAGCGTCGAGACGATCGAATTCGGCGGCGTGTGTCCTGGAGTCAAACGCAACGTTCGCTGCGTCTTCGACCAACCACTCAGAAAGTGTCATCGTCAATGCCTCGTCGTCAACGGCGTGCGATGCACGCATACCAAGCTTACGCACGATTGCTTCTTCGCTCTTGGACGCGATCGTCGTCGAGCGCAGCATTTGTACCGCAGCTTCTCCAGCTTCCGCCGCACGCGCGTCCCGAGCCGCCAAGGCAGCTTCACACGCGCGACGCACTGCCTCGATGCGTTTCGTCTCCTCCACGCTCGCATCGCGAAAACGACCGAGCTCGCGATAAAACCCAATCGCGCGCGCCCAATCTTTTTGCTCCCACGCAAGATCGCACGCCTGCGTCAAAAACCCGACGTATTTCTCCGTCTTTCCACTCGCTCGATGCGTCTCCACGAGCGCGCTCAGAGCCCTCAACTGCCCTTCGACGTCACCCGTCTTCGCGTGCGTCTCATTCAACCCTTGATACGCCGCCGGGTGATCCCCTCTGATCCCGATCGCGCGTTCGTACGCCTTCACCGCGTCATCGCTCGCGCCTCTCGCGCAGAAAACCTTCCCGGCGACCACCCACGCCTCGTAACTCGCGGCGTCCATCTCCGTCGCCTCCCTCGCTCGCTCCAGCGCCGCATCGAGCGATCCTTCCTTCAGCGCATCGTTCGCCGATTTCAGTTTTCCAATCAACCGCGCCTTTTCGCTCGACATGTCACCCGTCTGGTCTCCCGTCGGCTCGTCCGTCCGTCCGCGCGCCGTCCGTCTCGCGTCTCGCGCCCCTCACCCACCTCGCTCGCGCCCGGATCACCCGAACAACGTCTGCACCGCCATGTACGCGCACAGGGCGCTGACGAAGGGCGATAATCGCTCGCCCACGCGCGCGGCTTTCCAGAAGACGCCTCGGAAGCCAGTGCGATGTGAATCGATCAACCCAGGGGCGCGAAGTTTGACGTACGTGCAGGCGCAGACGAAGAGAGCGAGCGTGGAGACGAAGGATTTGAAGTCGAACAGGGCGGACATCGACCGGGGGGCGCGTTTGGGTCGATGGTGACGGTGGCGCGGATGAATGGGGATGTAGGCGGGATGCGCGCGGGGCGAGCGCTCGGCGCGGAGGCTGATGACGGTGAAATGGTGATTACGCGCACGCTATGACGGTGAAATGGTGATTACGCGAACACTATGATGGTGTGGTATCACCGGGTCGAGTCCATGGTGTAACGGAGGATGAGGACGAAACATAACAGCGCGGCGGCGCCGAAGACGACGATGAAGTCAATGAATTGATGCGTCGGCGACGCGAACTCCTTGGCTGCCGTGAGAATGGCGTCGCGATTGTCGACGATCCAGCGGTGTACGTGGAGCTTTTTTAGGGCGATCTGGACGATGATGCTCGCGTCGGGTTGTGAGGTGAGGATCATGTCGTAGTATCGCTTGGCGAGGTGGAGGTCCTTTTGCATGCCGATGCCGTGCTCGTGCATGTGCGCGAGGTTGAACATGGCGTGCGGATTTCTCTGCTCGCTTGCCTGACGGTAAGCCGCAATCGACTTGGTGAGCGACACGCTCGTGCCGTGACCGTAGAAGTACGCGTCGCCGATGCGGAGCAATGACTTAACGTTGCCCTGTTTCGCCGCGAGCCGGTGGTAATGGAGCGCTCGCGTGGCCGTCGGTGGCGCCAACGGGTTCTCGGATGTGTCATCGCGGAATCGTCCATCGTCTCCGCGCTTGCTCTCGAGCAAGAACGCAGCGTTTGCCTGCGCTATTTCGAGCCCCATCTCTGCCATCTTCATGTACCGAAGGAGCGCGCCTCGATAATCACGACGCATGTACGCCGCGTACGCGTGCTCCATCATTGTCACCCATCTCCCACGTTCGGCGAGCTGCTTGAGCAGCGAGCTCGCCGAGGCGCAGGACGACGGAAATCCCATCCCGTTCAACTGCATCATGGCTAAGTTATACGTCGCAACCTCGTGGCCGACGTGCGAGGCGATGTTGAAGTTATGGTACGCCTTTGTGAAATCCTGCTTGACGCCTATTCCACGCAGATGGAGGACAGCAAGAAAGTACCTGGCATCCGCTAAACCTTGCTCGGCGGCTTGATTCAGGTACTTCACCGCCGTTCCGTGGTCTTGTTCCACGCCGTGACCTGCGAGCGTCATGTAACCCAAGCCGTATCGACCCATGGCGTTGCCCTTGGTCGCCGCCTTGTGGAACCAGTGCAAGGCGGTTTCATTGTTCGCGTCGACGCCGAACCCGTTGGCGTACATGTTCCCTAAATTCGCCATCGCCGCCGCGTCTCCCGCGTTTGCGGCTTCGCTGAGGTATTTACGCGCAGCGTCGATGTCTTTGCGCAAACCCCGAGCGCCGAGCGCATACAATCGGCCCATCGTCACCTGCGCGTTGACGTTGCCCATGTCGGCACTGTACCGATAATACTGCACCAAGTCCCGCTCGCGCTTCGCCGCGATGTTGCTCCCACTCATGTCTGCACTCAGTCGGTGCTTTTCAATCTGAAACGGTAAAATCCCAGGCGTGCGCTTTGCCGCCTCGTCTGCGACGATTTTCGCCGCCTCGTGATAGTACAGCGTCGCGCTCTCGCACGAATCCGGCACATCGATCCCTTGCTTGTGTCTGTACCCGAGCGCCATCATTGCCGGCACGCTCCCACCGTTCGCGGCGAAGTAATAATGCAACACGCTTTTCGCCCCGTCCCTCGGCGCACCGTTCCACCCGCTGGCGTACGTAAAACCCAACTCCTCGTGCGCGTCCGCGTTTCCCAGCTCCGCCGCCCGACGCAGCGCCGCCATGGCACCGCGTTCGTCCATACCGATCGAATCGATCAATCCGTACCTGCGAGCGAACCCCAGCGCGTACCACGCCTCGCCATCTTCCCATCCCGCGGCATCGCTCGTCTCGTCGCCCTCGACGTACCGCGACACCCAAGCAAAGGCTCGCCGGCGCTTCCGGTTCGCCGCCGACCTCGACGATCCGCTCGCCCGCACCCGTCGCCTCTCGTCCACGTCTTCCTCTCTCAACAACTCGGCTATGTTTTCCAATCGAATCTTCTCGAACTCGGACGTCACGTCCGACGCCCCATCCGTTTCCATCGACTTTTCCGTCGCCGCGCTCGCCGCCGAACCGCCCGAGGCGTCCCGCTCGGAGGCGTCATCACCCATCTTCGACGCATCCAACCTCGCAACATCGCCGGACGCGTCGCGATCGACCCCCAAAAATTCATCGCTTTCCACGTCACCCATCACATCCTCGTTCGCCCGCGCGACGATCGCGAAAACGAACGAAACCATCGCGACAAGCACCATTCGCGCCACCCATCCTCGACGATGCATTCGCCCTTTCCCGCCGCGTCGTCCCCCGCGCGCCCACGCGCGCGTCCACTCCGTCGCGATCGTCGCACGTGGCATCGATCGGGGCGTTCGTTCGTCCTCGAACGCCCTCGACGCGCGCGCGCGCGGCGCATTCGTGTCAATGTTCGGTGACGTCCGTTTGGGAATCGTTGAATTCCGTAATCCCGTCACACGCCGACGCGCGCGATGCCGCGCGCGAACGCGTCTCGCGCGAACGCGCGCGCGGAGACGGCGATCGGGAACCTCTTCGCCGACGTCGAGGGCGACGGGACGCTCGAGGCGTTGGCACCGACGGGGAAAGGATCGAACGCGGTGAACGAACGAACGATCACGACGACGACGACGACGACGACGACGACGCACGCGAACGCGTCTATGGGACGGACATGTAAGGAGTGTGGAACCGCGCGGACGTCTAAGTGGCGTAAACCGCTGAGCGGTGGATTCGGCGACGGGGAGCGAGTGTGCAAGGCGTGTTTTCAAAAGCAGAGGCGGAAGGAGTGCGCGAGCGGGGCGAGCGGACGACAATGCGCGTGTTGCGGAGAGACGCGATCGAGAGGTGAGTGGGTGAAGGCGAAACGAGAGTTGTGCGACGCGCGTGAGGATGTTTTGGTGGAAGGGGACGTGTGGTGCACGAAGTGTCATCTCAAGAAGAAGGCGAAGAAGTTGGAGAAGGTTGGCGCGGAGAAGACGTGTCCGAAGTGTGACGCGTCGCGAGTGGGTTTGAAGTTGGTGACGAACCCGGATGCGAAGGAGGTCGCGACGCTGCCGAAGATTTGTACGACATGTTACGCCAAGGCGAGGTATCGTGATAAGTACGCCAAGCGCAAGTGCGCGCAGTGTAAGACGAAGAATATCGACAGAGGGGAAAAATGGCATCACCTTCCGCCTGAGGAGAACGATGAGAAAAGAGACAAGTGGGTATGTCCGAATTGTCATTACGCTCGCAAAAAGCTGGAATGGCGCGCGGCGAAGATCGGGCAGATACAAGCAAGCGTCGCTTTCGGCGCGGCGTCGACGGGAAAGAGCAACGGCGTCATCGGTCACTGCGACATCTGCGGGCACGACAAACCGTCGGGACAGTGGCGTAAGATCGACGGCGGTAGCGCGTGCTCGGCGTGTTACCAGCGACGGTGGCGCAAGGAGGCACGAGAGGAATTGGAAAATGCGGGGGAGAGCAACACCGGCGAGCGCCTCGTATCCGTATAAAAAGAGTCATCAAAGAATATAAGAAATCATCAAGTCGCAAGTCACTCCGACAAGATTGTCGCTACTTTCTCGCGCACGCGGTTCCATCGATCGACATCCATCGCCGCCCCCCGAATCTGCACCACTTCCGCGCCCGCGGCGCACCCTGCGTCGCTGCACTGCTGAAGCGACCCGCCAACGAGGTACGCGTACAAGAACCCGCTCGTAAACGTATCGCCGGCGCCCGTGGTATCAATCGCGACCACGCCCTCGGCTAGAGACTCCGCGCGCGCACCCTCGGCGTTCATCGATACGCACCCGCGCTTCCCGCGTGAGCACGTCGCCACCTTAACGTGACGCAACAACCACTCGAGCGCCGCCGTCTCCGTCTCCGCGTCCGGCCGCTCGACGTCGCGCCCGTTCTCCACGATCCCGCTCGCACTCACCAGCTCTCTCGCCTCGTCCTCATTGCAGAACACCACGTCAATCATTCCCGACTCCAATATCTCCCGAAGCGCCGCGCGACATCCGCGAACGACCTCGAACGAGGCTAAATCCAAGCTCACCAGCGCTCCATTCGTCTTGGCCACCTCGCACGCGCGTCGTAACACATCTGGTCTATACAGCGCGTAGCCCTCCGCGTGCAACACGTCCGCCCTCCGTAACTCCTCGATCGGTAAATCATCCACCGTCGTCGTCGCGCTCGCCCCCAGCGACGTCCGCATCGTCCGCTGACCGTTTTCATCCACCAAGCACACGCATCGCGCGCTCGTCAACTCTCCCGCCGAGCTCTCATCCTCTCCCGACCTCGATCGCGTCGTCAAAGACGCGCTCGACACTCCATCACGCGATAAAGCCAGCGCGTACGCCCGTCCCACGTCGTCGTCCGCGATTGTGCCGATCAACGCGCACGTCGCGTTCGCGTCCAACGCCGCGAGCCCTTTCAACACATTCGCGGCGCTCCCGCCCGGTGTCGTCGACACGTCATCCGTCGGTAACGCGCGCACGATGTTTGTGAGGACATCACCGGTGACGACGACGCACCCGCCAATCTCCACGGGCGCGTGCGAAGCGCTCGGTTCGGAGCCGCCGCGCGTCCCGGAGAGGATTTCGCACGCGCAGCTACGCGAGAGACGACACAGGACATCCGTGACGGGATCTCCGAGACCGAACACCACGCGGGGAGTCATGCGTGGGGTACTTGTGCGCGTGGTGTGGTCGGAGCGGGATTTGGATGAGAGTGGCGTGACCGGGTGCGCGTCGTGATGTACGGGTGGCGCGGCGACGCGTGACGGCTGGGACCTTGAGATCAATGCCGAGACGGATTTCGTTACAACAACGCCACGCGCGGGGATCTTGAAAGAATAGGCTGTGTGCTAGAAATGCCTGGTACCAGTTTATGATAGTTTCCTCGAAATCGGAGGAATTTCGGACGTCGAAGTATTCGTCCGCGCTCTAGTGCGCCTCCGCATACGGCCGTGGCTCGAGCAGTGAGAGCAACACCGGAAGGAAGAGCAAACCACCGGTGACGACGACGCACCCGCCAATCTCCACGGGCGCGTGCGAAGCGCTCGGTTCGGAGCCGCCGCGCGTCCCGGAGAGGATTTCGCACGCGCAGCTACGCGAGAGACGACACAGGACATCCGTGACGGGATCTCCGAGACCGAACACCACGCGGGGAGTCATGCGTGGGGTACTTGTGCGCGTGGTGTGGTCGGAGCGGGATTTGGATGAGAGTGGCGTGACCGGGTGCGCGTCGTGATGTACGGGTGGCGCGGCGACGCGTGACGGCTGGGACCTTGAGATCAATGCCGAGACGGATTTCGTTACAACAACGCCACGCGCGGGGATCTTGAAAGAATAGGCTGTGTGCTAGAAATGCCTGGTACCAGTTTATGATAGTTTCCTCGAAATCGGAGGAATTTCGGACGTCGAAGTATTCGTCCGCGCTCTAGTGCGCCTCCGCATACGGCCGTGGCTCGAGCAGTGAGAGCAACACCGGAAGGAAGAGCAAACCGTGCGCCAAACCGAGCGTGATGCACAGGAAAAGCTGCTTGAAGAAGGTTTGGAAGACGTATGAATCGGAAGATCCGAGGATGAGGACGGCCATGAAGGTAGACATGGCGCCGTTCCAGACGGCGACGCCCATGTCCTCAAGCGTGCGCACGATGCGCTCGTTGGGAGTGCCAAGCTTCTCGAGGTACGCGCGTCCGATGTGCGCGGAGTAATCGACAGAGAGACCGAGAGCAATAACGAGCATGATCACGGTGACAGAATCGATAGTGAGCCCCCAGAAGTGCATGTAACCGACGATATTGACGAAAATCATGACAAGCGCCAAGGAGACGCTGATGACGGTTTTGAACTCAACAACGAGAAGGGCGATGATGCCGAAGCACGCCACGATCGTGATGGAGAGGTTTTGAATCGCCTCACCCGTGATGGACTTGTACTGCTCGTAGTTCAACCACTCGCGGCCGAACGGGAAGATTTTGTCGTTGTTGCCGCTGACGGAGGCGATTTGCTCGCGCAACGTGTCCATCGCCTTGACGTTGATGTTTGATTCGTCCGTCTTGATGTGTTTCCCATGCACTCGAGACGTAATGATCTTCGTCGGCGAGGAAGTGCTATCGAAGACGACGTCATTTTTGTACTTTGATCCCCCGCTCGAGGTCGTGTCCGCGAGCCAGGAGTTGAGGGCGGTGACGTAGTTTGAGTCACTCCAGGACTGAGATGTGAGCCCTGAGCTGTTTCTGTACGTGTAGAACTCGTCCACCCACGAGCGCACGGAATCAGTGACGACGTACTGATTTGCCTTGAACGTAGTGACGGCGTTACGGAGAACCGCATCGCCCGCGGTCAGGTCGGTCAGGTCGAGGCTGGACTTTGTGTACAGTTCGACGTCGTCTCCGTACACGGTGAAGTAGGCGTCTCGGTCCGCAAACCACAACTTGAGGTACGAGTCGTCCGGAATGAAGTTGTTCACGTCGGCGTCGACCTTAATCTTGGTCGCGCCGATGATACCGCCGATCGTCATCGCAGAAAAGAAGGTAACGACGAAAATCTTGACCTTCAGGTTACCCAACCGCGTACCAATGGTTTGGCCCAGGAGTCGCTGCAACATAGACTTCTGCGTCTTGTGCGGTTGGCAGCAGGTGCAGCACGCCTCGGCCGGGCACGACAAGCAGCAGAAAACGTCACCTTGGCGCTTCGCCTTGCGTCTCTCGTCCAGAGCGACGCACGCGGTGAAGAAGGTGACCTGGTAAAAGTAATCAAAGAAGATGCCGAGCGCCGCATAGTAGCAGAAGTTTTTCAATGCGGGCAAGGACGTGGAAGAGCCGATGAGGAACGCGATGACGTCCGTGATGGAGGTCACGGTCACGCTCATACCTGCGTATCTCAGAGTACGACCCATACGCTCGACAGGATCAACGCGGGCCTCGACGTTGTCGTACGCATTGACGATGACAAACATGTCGTCGACGCCGACGCCGAGGAGCAAGAATGGCAAGACGTTCATGAGCGGTGAGAAGAAGAGACCGAAATAAGAGCCCAGACCGTACGCGGACGCAAGCGCCATGCCAATGGAGATGATTCCCGCCAAGGTGACGCCGACGCGAGAGCCGACGCACCCTTGATCCCATTTGCTGAGCGTCAGCGCAGCGTATGCAAGGATGAGGAAGAGCGCGATCTGGAGCTTGGTGAGGTCTCGGTTGATCGTGGACCCGAATTCATCGCCGAACGAGCGCGCGGTGACATAAGAGACCTTGAAACCGGCCGGCGGAGAAGCCTCAAAGATTTCGAGAACCTTGGAGTCAAACGCGTCGCCTTTTTCGTCAACGTAGTCACCCTTCTTCAACACGTCGTTGTTCTTGAACAGGTACGTGAGCGACAGTGCATTGGCCCGAACGTTCCCGGAGGAATCGTACGTCACGCCCCCGGCCACGCTCGAGAGAAGAATCTTGGAGTTATCCGTCGGATTCATCAGAGGGTCCGCCTTCATCACGGTGTCGATGGCCGTCTGGTTTGCATACCCCGCGGCGTTCGAGAACGCGTCCAGAGCGCTCTTGGCGTAGCAGCTCGCCCCGAATCGATAGCAGTGATCGTTGTACCCGTACGTCGCGCCTTCCCACGTGATCGATACCGCGCTCACGCCTGTCGCAACGGTCCGCAGCGCAGTCAATCCCTCCGGTGTCAGCACGTTTGACCCATCCGTCTTGGTCAAAATCGCCTGTGCGAATCGCGTCTCCGCGCCGTAATACGTATCAACGAACGTCTTATCGTCCTGCGCCGGCGTGTCCGTGGGCACCCACAGCCTATCGCCGCGGTTCTCGTTCTTCAACCCGGGGTACCCAACCCCGCCGCTGAAAATCACACACAAAACCACCGTGCACGCGATCATCGTCCACGGTCTCGACGCGCTCGCCCTACCGAGCGCGTAGAACTTCTTTCCGAAGAAACCATTCACGCCGTTCGCGAGCTTATCGCCGCACGTCGACGGGAGCTCGACGCTTGTCGTCTTTTCATTCAATTGCACTTTTCCGAACGCGACGTCCTCGAGCGTCTCGCCGTCTCTGTTCCCGCTCGCGCTCGGTCGCGCGGCGACGATGACCTTGGGCGGGACGTTATCCATCGCGCGCGGCGGTCGACGGGCGTCAGGAACGCGCACCCGGTCGCGCAGTGACGACGGTGGCTCGAAAGGGCATCTTGTCGACGTCACGCGTTTTCGCTCCAATTTTGGCACGCCCTGGACGCGTTGGCTAGTGGCGGGCGCGAGGTGCACGAATGTGGGCGTTACAGAGCGTTAGGCGGTCGGTACATCGGCGTCGTCGGTGGAAACGGTGCACACGGCTAAGGTGTGACGACCGCCGCAGGAGATTTTGAGCGCTTTCCAGCGCTTTCCGTTCGGGAGCGGGGGGAAGGCGACTCGGGACGGGACGCCGCACGTCGACGACGACGGGTCCCGGATGACGCGTCCGAGTCGTCCGAGCGTGGTTCGACCCCAAGATAAGACATTTCCTTCGGCGGTAATGGCGCACGAGTGCGAACCGCCGAGGGCGATGTCGGCGATGAAGACAGATTCGTCGAGTTCGACGAGTTTGGGAACGACTTTGTCCTTGACGTCGTCGCCGTGACCGAGTCGACCGTATTCACCTCGGCCCCAGGTGTAGAGCACGCCACCCGCGGTGACGGCCGCAGAGTGCCACCCACCAGCGGCGATTTTGACCACGCCTAAGCGCCCAAACGTTTCGATGACGCGGCAGACGTCCGCGGCTCCCGTCGCGCCCAAACCGAGCTGACCGTACGAACCGTTACCGTAACTCATCACCTCGCCATTTCGCGTGCGCATGAGCAAGTGAAACGCCCCAGCCGCTATTTCCACGACGTGTTTGTCTTTAGCGTCGAGCTGTCGCGGAGCCGTGCGCGGCTCATCATCCTCGGAAGTTTGTCCCCACTCGAACACTCTGCCGTCGTGCAGGAGCGCGAACGAGCTCATGCCGCCGCA